TATTTAGGTTGTTGGGGTTTTTCACTTCCCACACAGGAGACTTTCACTCAAGGCTAAGTCTAAGACTGCAGTATTAGATTTGTTCATGGTTATCTCATGGAGATCTAAGCCCTTGCTACAGCCCAAAGGGGCTGTCCTACCCATCCTCTACCCCTGGCCTGGCACCCTCAGCTCTTCCTCACTGCCATCATCTGCTCTGGATGTTTAAAAAAATGCAGGGTTTAAGCCATTTAGGAAATATGAAAATTATATGCAGCCTCTCACACAATTGAGTATATGCATGTTCTTTACAATTGCAGATAATAGAAAATTGTATAAATATGTACGCTTAGTTAAGAGATAGAAACTGTGAAAGTATTTAACATAAACTTCTAGAAATAATAAACAAAAAATCAGAATGAAACTCCCCCTAAAAAAAACCAAACTGAAGCAAAGCAAACAAGAAAAAAAAAGTTAGACTGAAAAATAAATATTACTAAAAAATAAAAACTTCACAAGATGTGATGGATTTTATGAAATTGAAAAACTAAAAGGAATACATTAAAAGTTATAAATCTTTTAATTTTAAAAATGAATTAATACATCCACATTAGCCTTCTCTGTAACAGTCTAATACAATCATGATAAATTTATTAATAAATCAGTCCTGGGTTTATCATCCCACACTCTACTATGCCTACTTTTGAATGCACACTTAGTTTCTTTCATCTGTTTTCTCCTTATAGCACAACTCTTGATTTAAGGTTGTGAGCTTTAGCCTGCAGGAACATTGATGCTAGCTGTGTATGAAAATACCGGCAACATACATCCGATTGAGATATCCTGTCTGACACGCCACTTCCCAGAGTCCTTTAGCACCCACAATTTGTAACCCCATCACTCGTCCTGAAGGGAAGGGTCCCTGGGAGCTGGATTAGCTCTCAGGGGTTAGGTATCTTTGAGCAAAGCTTTTCAACAGCCTCCACACTGAAGCAAGTGCTGGAGACAGATTTATGCCAGTAGGAATTTCTTACCTGCAACTCAGTTCTCTCTTCACCATCAGTGACTGCCTCCTCCTTCACCTGTGACACAAACAAGCCAAAGAAATCATGTAGCCTTTCCTCTTGTAGTCATATCACACTGCAGGATGACACTGATTCTTCAACCCATCTGTAGCCAGAAGAACCCTATGTGGGTAACTTCAGATCGTATTGCTTTCATTTTCATGCATTTTGCAAATGACAGACAATGTGTTGGTCAGTTTTGTTCGATGAAGAGCACTAATTTAGAGATGCAATTAACAATTAGAGCCTGTTGCTAGAAATCTTATCAAGTGAAAAATTTTATTGTGTTTTGCCATCTAGATGAGACACAAAATTCGTACTTAGCCATCTAAACATAGTTTCTGTCGACATTAAATGCACAGACCACCACTGTATTATTTTTATTACCGCTTTTATATTTCTCTCACACCACTAACTTTTCTCCATGTATCCCTCTCACTGGATATCTTACAGATTCTGAGAAAAAATCAGCCTTTTTTTCCATGAGATCTGGCCACTCTATGGCCCTAGCACATTACCTAAATTGTTCTTAGAACATAAAAAAATACTAAGAGTACCAAATTTTTATCAGAATACATAAATATCCCTAGATTTTTCTGTAATTAAAGTATTTATTAGTACTTCATCATGTCATTCTTTGTTATTTCCTAGTTGTTTTTTCTAAGTCCCATGAAACTCTTTTTTCCTTCTGGATATTGTGCACCAGGGGAAATATTGAAAAAGAATGTCTCTCAGATATATACATATACATATATATATATTATACACAAGTTTGTGTGAAAGTAGCTGCATCAAACACGGATGAAGGAGGTTCAAAATCAGCTGCAGGCTTGGGCTAATGATGCAGTCTTGGAGGCTTAAAAGCATATCCCCCTTGCTGACCTGGGACAAAAGGTCCTTCTCCAAGGCCCACAACAGGACCAGGCATAAGTCTGACTGGGGACTGTGCCAGGACAGGTGCAGGAACAAACTTTTTCCTGTGAGATGCTCAGAAATTTGACTTTTGTGTGTACATATATACATATGTATATATATACACACACACATTTGTGTGAAAGTAGCTGCATCAAACAGATGAAGCAAGTTCAAAAATCAGCTGCAGGCTTGGGCTAATGACGCAGTCTTGGAGGCTTAAAAGCATATCCCCCATTCTAAAAGCAACTCAAGAACAATGTTTTAAAAATAATGAGACCACTGCAGTAGGAACAGGGTACTTTCTGAAGCACTCAAACACGTTAGTTACCTCACACAAATGGAAGTCATTGGGAATCAGACTCTTAGCTGCCTTTGCAATATCAGTAGGTGACTGGCTGAATTTTAAGACACCAAAATATGCTTGCAAAATCTTTCCATGGTAAAAAAGTGAAATTTTAATCAACTGCATTATATGACACTTATGTTTTGAATTACACAGCTCTGTTTACGCAATGACCCAAGGCCCTTTCAGCTGCTGTTCTGTAAAGTCCTGACAGGGTTAAGAGGAAAAACATGGAAATCTTCGTACAAAACGTCAATGAGAGAAAATCTCCAAGAAAACAAAATGGCTGTTAGGTAGATGCCACTACTTCTGTCTTATTAACTCTAGTATTCCCAAAGGGTAATGGCCAGTGATTTAGGATTTCTCATTCAAATTAGATCAAACTGCTGTACCTTTTTTGGTCTGAGAATGCCTTAGTCTGAAGCCATATTTGCCCTTGTTCTATGTATTTCCCTATGTAGAAGGTATAGATCTAGCTCTGAAATGTCAGAATACTGGCCCACTTCAACAACTAACTATTGCATTTAATAATATGGAAATTTTATGTGTTACTGCAATAATGATGATACCAGTATTGTATGAAACATTAAAAAACATACAAAAGTAACATTAAAAGTTTTGCAAAATAAAACAATGAACCCTCCAAAATAAACATTTGAAAAATCTAGAATCAAAACATGGAAATCTTCGTACAAAATGTCGATGACAGAAAATCTCCAAGAACACAAAATGACTGTTAGGTAGATGCCACTACTTCTGTCTATTAACTCTAGTATTCCCAAAGGGTAATGGCCAGTAATTTAGGATTTCTCATTCAAATTAGATCAAACTGCTGTACCTTTTTTGGTCTGAGAATGCCTTAGTCTGAAGCCATATTTGCCCTTGTTCTATGTATTTCCCTATGTAGAAGGTATAGATCTAGCTCTGAAATGTCAGAATACTGGCCCACTTCAACAACTAACTATTGCATTTAATAATATGGAAATTTTATGTGTTACTGCAATAATGATGATACCAGTATTGTATGAAACATTAAAAAACATACAAAAGTAACATTAAAAGTTTTGCAAAATAAAACAATGAACCCTCCAAAATAAACATTTGAAAAATCTAGAAGGCAAAATGGTTTAAAATTGGCTTCTTTTGGAATATTTGATTAAGCAAAAGTTCTGAAATAAGATACTTTGGTTCATAAAAGAATATGCATATTTTATATGCGCAACAAACAACTTCTTGTTTTTCTTAATCCCAAAGCAAATTTCAGATTGTTGACTATTTCCCAGAACAGGGAAAATCTAGATGTGATCTGCTTGGCATTGCGTGTCCCATTTTGCCTCTCTGACTCACTGCTGGGCATGTTGAGCTCAGTACCCAAAGCTGAGTGACAGCAGGGACATGCACCACTTGGCTTTGGCAGCCCCTGGCACTGGCAGCCAGCTGCAAGGCAGGAAAGCACCCCTGCTCAGCAGCGTGTGGGCATGGCATGCTGCAAAGCTGCTTACCCAGCAGGAGCATGGGGTCTCGTCCCGGGAGGTGCTGAGTAACCCCAGAGGTGCTGAGCCTTCTTTTCCCAGCTTGAGTCCCGTCCTGGGAGATGACCAGGACCATGGTGGGCTTGGCAGGCTCAGGACCATACCAGTCATATTGTGCTTTCAGGGGTGAAGTGTCCACCCTCTTCCCAGGTTCTGTGGCAGAGCAGAAGCTCACTCTATTTTTTTCTTGCCCCTTACAGGGCAGTTCAGGTGTCCCAAAGACACAAGGAGGAACCTGCAACCCCTCTGCTGCAGAACTGAGGGACCTATTGCTGAGCAAAGTGGGGAATCCTCTTTGATTTCTCTGTCCCTCACATATTTGTGCTCTGGCCATCCAAAATAAGGCCAGAAATGAGCTGTGCAGCACGATCCCCTCTTTGCTGTTGTTTTGAGCAGTTCTACAGTTTTGCTGGCACGGAGCATGGGTGCATCTCCTTCTCCACTGCGTCAGCGAGAGCACAACCCATAGGAAGGGAAAGGTATGGCATAAGGAGACTTTGCAGTTGGGAAAAGCAGAGACTCATCCCTTTGCTTCAGATACTCTTGTGATCTAATGAATAAAATACTATTTTTTTTCCTCAAATTACTATGTCACCTCTTCAATGACAAGCCATTGTCCTCCGAGTGCTGCACTTCCATGAACAATGTGCATGGAACTGACCTCTTCATACCTGGAAGTAAACAACTGGACTTGTGTTTCAATTCCATATTAAGTCCATATTCTTTACGGTAATATTCATTAAGCTCTTATACTAGGTGCAAGGAGAAAACTGGTTAATTGCATTCAAAGCAATGATAAGTTACCATTTTAATGAATCCTTATGTTGTGAGTAATTTATAAATCACTCGGTATCTTCTCAGCAAAGCTTGCCTTCTGTTTTTAAAACGTACCCTTTCGTATCCAACAAAGGGTTTCAGTGCAATAAGAATTAAGGTGTGTCTCCTAGCTTTTACCTGCAAGCAATAATGATGTTGTCAAGCGTTTCAGGTGAGACCAGCCCAGGATTTTGGGGTGGGGAAAGACACTCTGTTATACAGCATCTTCAGTGCTTCCCTCAGAGGGAGGCAGAGACACCGTGAAGGGCTGAGTATAAGGACATCTACCGAGTGTCTTTTTAAATAGACACCAGAGCTGGGGGGGGGGAGGGGAAAAAGAACAGGCTTGTAACCATAACTCAGTTGGACTTGTATCCGAGAAGTCAGATGCCATGGATTGGCTCCCTCACCGAATGGCTGCTTTTCTGCTCCTGTTATTGGTAAGTCAGATTTTAAAACGATATTTGTAAACTCTGTGATTAGGCCAGCTGAGTCTTCCTCAGCAGACCATTACATTGTACGGTATCAACTAGCCCCCCCTCAAAAAAAGCCTTGTGAAATTTAGCATGAAAAAAAAAGCTGTGCTTATTTCAAACTGCACTTCTGAAAGTTCTATATAAATAATATAGTTTTTCATAAAATGCTGACAAGTATTTATTTTTATTATGACTTTCTGCAGTGTGTTGATGTTCAATCTGTGACTTTCTATGTTTAACGTATGACTTTTCAGGTGAATGTTGTCTGTGACTACCATTTAAGTAGTCACTGCTATTAATAAAAATCTTATTATTATAAAATTCCTAATAACTTGACTGGATATTGTTTGGTTCTATGGCTTTTTTTTTATCAATTGAAGGATTATGAAGAGCAAATCTCTTTTACTGAACTCATTAGCAAAAGCTCTTCAGAGCTGCCCGGTTCCTATGGCTGTATTTAAGATAAAAACATGAACTTTAATGCAAACCTTGGCTGAGTAAAAATAAGGACTTGGCCTATTATTTCACATTAGAAAGAATTCCTGTCTTGTGGTGCGTTGGAGTCTGAGCCGCCATGTGCTGAGCAAGTGAATGCAAGTGAATGAAAGTGTCCTTGCTCTTTGGGTTTGTTTTTCTCACTGTAAAAGGAAAGTTGTGGCTATAGTCAAGTGGCATAATTGTACAATATGTTATTCAAGGCACAGAAAATACCCAGAAAGGACTTAAAAGAATTACGAAGGCCCTTGTACTCCTGCAATCTGATTTTTGTGTGGATTATTTTCACTCATCTATGCTGCTTTTCTAAAATTAGGTAGAGGTTTAAGGACCTGAAGTTTGAAAAGAGTACGATTTCTATTATAATTATGTCTTTCTGTGACTTTCATTGTACACAATGTATTAGTGTAAATGTTTGTGAGCTTCTTGTTACTGATCGATCTAGTAATTTTATAGTCAGGGGAAAAGTCTTTGTTTTTATAGGATATGAAATCCTAAAACTTAATTTGAAAAGATAATCCATTAATTCTAAGTGACAGCTCTGCCGTCAGTAAAGTAGAACTAACCAACACAGGGCAGCTGCCAAGCAAACAACGACAAAACTTGGCAAAACAAGTTATGGTTCGGATGAGTTTCTGCTTGTTTAACGCAGCGCAGAGTTCTCGGAGACTGGCGTGTTGCACATCACGCTAACACTTCTGGATTTTCCTGTAGTATTAGTGACTATTCATTTTACTTGGTTACCTGGTGATGCATACTCATGATGAAGTTAATAAAAAAAGTTGAAGTTGACTGTACTGTATCTAAGATCTTTCCATTCAGAAGAGATTTTATTGCTTTACTTCTCTGGGCAACTCTGGAGCCATTTTCATTTTTTCAGTATATTATCTTTACAGTTGTGACGGAAGGATATGTGTTGGGTCAGGAAAATGGAGCAATTGTGAAAACTTCCATTATGTTTTGATGACTATCAAATATTTGAACTTTTACTACCCAGAGGAAGAGATTGTTATTCTTGCTATGCGTCCTTCTGCACAGCAGTGCTCATGGTGGCCTGTACAGCTTAATAGCATCTCTCAGCACTTTATAGAAACCTGACAGACAAACTGTAGAGATTAAATAAATTATAAATTATGTAGCCAATTTCAATGTATTCTAAGAAACGGTCTTGGTTTTCAGCTTGATTAATTTTTCATGAAAATCAGCTGTCTGAATGGTGTGTCTGGTTAGTATATTGTTAATAAGTTGTATCAAATAAAAATGCAGTGGAGTTATACATATTTTAGTACACCACTAGTCTTTCAAAATGAGAAAACTTACCAGCCCTGAAACTAATTATTTTCTATATGCATTTCACCATTGGTGGGACAGATTCTGCAACCCTTGCTCACGTGACTTCAAAGGCGTTATTCTCATGAGTAAGGGAGTTCTGTTTGTGATACTTGCACAGACACGTTTTATGGAAATAACCTGTTTGATGGGGTATGACTCTTCTCCTGCCAGCTATCATGTGACAGCTAATAATTTTAAATTCACCACATCTCATATACGCATTTCTGTCTGGCTACATTTTCCCATGCGTTATCTACACTTCTTTTTTTCTTTTTTTTTTTTCCAAGTTGTTAGGCTACAGTTACACCTCCTACTCATAACTTGTTTGTACATAAAAATATTAAGGGGTCAAATCCTCTCATAGCATATGCACTCGAAACACCTGCAAGGATGTAGCCAGGAACCTGCAGGCTCTTCTGCCAAAGAATTTTGTTGTAGAAAGAGAAACTAAAGCATTCCACATCCAGGAGTTACCACCTAACATTAGTTTCTTAAGTCTGCAGCTGTACATTCCTAAGTTAAAATGGCCCCTAAGCGGATGTGCATGTGCAGCCACAGCACTCCAAGCCATATTAGAATGCAGGTTTTATTGAGGAGATTTATTGAGGAGACTTAGCATGACTAATTTAAAAACTCAAATTTGAATGATAATGACATACACCCTGTATTGAATTGCTTTTCTGATACTTTTTCTAATGGTTAAACTTAGTTACTGTATGGAAATTCATTCTATCTGTATGACTCAGGAGAACAGAAACAACCTCAGTGGAAACTTTCCCAAAGTGGTCAGTTCTTTGAATAATCATATTTTAAAACAAATAAAACTTCGGAATATATTCTTCCGACTGACAGAAGTGTTGTCACACTTCTGCTGAAATAGCAATGGATTCTCCATCCTCAATGCAATACAAAATATTGACATCAGTTGCTAACTCAGGAAGCAATAGAAACACCTGACTTCCACAGAATTAGAAAACAAAGTGCCAGAAAAATCATCCTGAAAAACTTCCCCTTTAAATTGGAAGAAGCAAGTTCACTAGTAGCCTATGAAAATGAAAAATACAGATGAAAACACATTCATTTTTTAATTTAAAAGTGAAAAAATGTCTTCTTTTTAAAATATGAGGTTTTGTCTTATGTTTCAACTCTGCTTCTCATTATTTCATATGCACTGATTTATCATTTTTTAAAGAGACGCAGAATGAATAAAGGGAAGGGTTCGTTATTTCCACCCTTTACTAGTCAGAGCTTTGGCTGAGTAAGAAAGACGTAAAAGTCCCAAAACGCTGACACAACCAGAGCTACCATGGCACCCTGATGACTAATATAATCTGTGTAAGTTCTCAGCACTCCTCCCATCCAGGCCAATAACAATACCGCTGTTGACTTCAAAGAGAGAGAACCAGATCCAATATGAATAATGCTGGGAAGATGTTACAGGCGTGTTCAGTCATTTAGATTTCAGTAGGTGGAGGAGGGAGGATTCCATAATTGCGTATAATATTGCTTGGCAGTCAATTAATGATTAGTTAATTCTTGTTTGTAAATCGCTTTGAAGGTGCACAGAACCATACACATCCTATGGGCCTAATTCTGTTGCCAGTTACATCAGAATAAATCCAGAATAACGCCAGTGTGACTCTAAGGCGTCATTTTGGACATAAGGTTCAGACTCTGTATCATTACAATAAAGGACAAGCTTTCAGGTATGCCGCTGTGCAAATGACAGTCCCCATAAACATGTTTCCTGCCTGCACCTCCCAACCCAGACCAGAAACAGCTTGTGCAATGAGCCTCTCTAGCTGCTTCTTCTTCTTCTAGCAGAGTTTCCATTTTTTCACAGACTTTCAGAGACTAACAGGACAGCAAATTAGGATCATCTGGCCTACTTCGAGGTCCTCAGGATGCATCCCACACATTCCAGTGGCTCCATTTGCTTTAATTATTGTTAATCACTGAATCTGTGGAAAGTGCTGTACTTGGATACTCGTTTAGAAGGGAAATTTGTTCATTACCTAGAAGTGTGCTGCAGTTAGCTGCTAGGAGACAGTCCTTCTCTGCTTGAAGTAGCACTGGAAAAAAGGTTTGCATCACAGATGGGTATTAGAAATAGACAACTGGGGTGGGGGGAGCCTTTTAACTGCTGGTGATAGTGGACAACTGGAAAACATTAGTTGGTGAGCCAGAGGAACCTCCATCCCTGGACCAAGCTGGATGGATGTCATTCCAGAATTGTTGAGGTTTGGCAGGTGGACTAGACAACTTTTTCTAAAGTCTACGTGTCCTCCTTCCTGAGACAGACATGCCAAATGCAGACATCAAGTTCATCAGATCAGTCTTTTCAAATAATATCACAAGCTGTACTAAGGACTCTGGATTCAAAACCATCAAGATTCTTTCAAGATCTTCCATTAGCAACACGTAGCAGAATGTGTTTTTCCTTAGTTAGCACAGGACAAGTGTGCAAACACAGGGTCTAAATTTACCATCCCCAGCATTACTGATGAACCAATTCCTGAGGTTCCCATTATTGCTGCTCAAGAACAAAGGATGAAACTCCAGTATTTCACTACCTGAAAACAGAACTCCCTATAGGCTGAAATCAAGTGTTCTAGGAATATTCATGTCCTTAAAGAACAGCATTCTTTGCAGGTATAATTCTTATTTCAGAGACCCTCAACACATCTTTTCAGTTAGGCCTGCTGAGTATGAGAGCGATGTGGCCAGGCGTGAGCTATTCGTTTCACTCTTAAATAACAGAATAAGCCACAGGATGCAGACAAGATTCACTACCATTGCACTGGGAGGTGTATACCCATACCGTTCTGGGTCAAGACAATTGCTCGCATGCCAGAAGGGATTTCAGCCCGAGGGTGGAGAGGATTTCCCCGTAGTCCCCAAAGCAGGCTCTGCTCTGCTGGTGGGATCAACTGATAATAGAGATTGAATAAGAGTTATTTCTGGTGGACTTCGTCACTCAGCTTCTCCAGTGAGGGTGTGATCTGCCCCTTGGACTCTCCCATGTTTCCCAAGCTCCAAGGGGGGTTATAAAAGGACAGGCCTGAGTTCCCACTGGACTGAAAAAAACCACAGTTTAAATGAATTCTGATATTATCCCTTCTCTGAGATGAACAATGGCTGCACATGAATCTTAACCCCATTCTGCAGCTGAAGATTTAAATTGTCACCAAGATATAAACCCAGATTAAAGATGTATTGATGCTTTTAGCACAACATGAACATATTGTAGTGATTTTCCCATGGAATAATTTTCTTAATCATTTATGTCCATAGCTTGCTCAAAGAAACAAGAAAAGAAAATGTTTACTCCATAAATAGTCAAATAATTTCCAAGGTATATGCACACCAAATGAGCAAATTCTCAGTCTAAATTGCCTCATTCAGAAGTAGATCAGGGCAATCATTATGTTCTGAGGTCTCAGGGAATGTTCTGGGCAAGATCAGATCATTGTAGACATTGCTTTGTAAATGACAGATGGTGGACCTCCTATGGCATATAGGTAAATGGGGAAAAGAGGGAAGAGAGAGGAAGGAGGGTGAAGCTGCTGTTCATTAATCTGTTGCATGTAAGGGGTTAACAGGATGTAAGTGGAAAAAAGTCTTTCCCATCTTCCAGCCTTGACAGAACAAGGCAATAAATATGAAGTGAAGAAAGTCCCATGAGGTAAAGCTACCACAGAGAAAAAGATTGTAACAGTTTTTATCCAAGTATAACTGACATAAAACCCACCAGAAAAAACATCAGACAAAAAAACCCAAAACTATTTAACACTACTGGGAAACAATAAGGAAAGTGGAAAAATTGATAACTACTCTGTTAACCACATTGGGTGAGAAAAGAGAAACTCTGCAACACTTTTTGAGTCACTTGGATATTTTATTTTTCCCAATGATGAACAAAGCAACCATGCATTCCTGCAAAACCCATATTCGTCACCCTTTATCATCTGAAGAGCAGAGGCAGGTCCTAAACACAATATAGATGCTCTGAAGAGGTGCATTCACCAAGTGATCTTCATTTTCACACCTCGTTTAGGAACAAGGCTAATTAAACTGTGACTTCTTTTAAATTGTGCTCATCAAGAAATTGAGGATTCTCTATTACTTTAATTTTAATTTTGAAGTAATTACATATTGCATCTGATCCTGCCACCTTTATTTACTCAAGACTTTGGTTGCATAGTTAGACCTCAAATCAAAGCCCACTCCACTCCAGAGAAATCTGCCTCATGACTGCAGTTGGCTTTCCATCTTACATTGAAGCTCTTCATCCTCAGTGGGAAGTTTCAAGAAAACATTTCATTCTTCTTGGCTAAACTACATAGTTAAGTACTCCAGATCTACTGTATACTTTCTAAATCAGAAAAAAAAAATAAAAAATAAAGAATAAATTCTTTAGAATAATAAATACTCTTTTCCAAGTTTCCAAGACGTAATTTTAATAACAACTCCTGCAACTACTCCTCTCTTCAGCTAAGGTGTTACAACCTAAAAATCTTTGTGAAAGCTGTATTTTGATGTAGAGTATAACTTGGAATTTGCTATGGCACATTCAAATTCAAAGTTTGGCCTTGAAAGACCAAATTCATTTTTAAGGTGTTAACTGTAAAGGAATTCAAGCAATGGATAGAGAAAAAAGAATGAATTGCACAAAGTCATTTATAGCAATCCTGTAGCTGCTGCTTAGATAGGCTCCTGCAATAGACTTGAGGAAAAGTACTGCTCCAGTCCTGCAGTATAGCAAAGTCGGGTTTTGCTTACTGCATTTTGTCCAGCATTTTATACAACAATTTTCTTATTGTTCTTGCAGGTACTCTTGGATTTCAGCACAGGATTTCATGTAGAGGTAATATATATTTCTTTAGAAACTGATTTTCTGATCAAATGAAATGAAAACATTTACTTATGTAAAAAAAAAAAAAAAAAAAAAAAAAAAAAAAAAAAAAAAAAAAAAAAAAAAAGACCAAAAAACAAACAACAAAAAAAGATGCAAAAATGAAATGGAAAATACTGAACTAAGATATTTCTGAACTTGGGAATTGAAATCATATTTAAATATTAAAAAGTTGCAGGTAATAACCTGCTCACCCTCTCAAGAGCAGTTCTCCTGTACCTAAATTAGTATCTCATACACAGAAAAATTTTACAGTAAACATATGCGGTCTTAAAAGTTTGGAACTCACAGACATATAATCTATTAAAATTCCCTTTCTCTTTATTGTTGTAAATTCTAAATTCTAAATTTCTGTATTAATTTTAAATGAGTTGAGGTTACTGGTCATATGATATTGGAACTGTCTGTCAAAGGTAAAAGAATGGAGTGAAAATGGAACGGCAAGATGGAAAACCTTCAGAAGACAAAAACGTGAATGGATCAAATTTGCTGCAGCTTGTAGAGAAGGAGAAGATAATTCTAAGAGGAATCCAATTGCCAAAGTAAGTAGAAAGAAAGAAAAAGTGATGTTTTTTTTCTGAAGACCGGCTGATAAAGGCAGAGAGATTTAAAACTATGTTTGCTTAGAGTAGTCCAAGCAAGGAATGTAATGTAAAAGAAAGGTGATGCAATATTTCCAGCTCTGCTGAGACAGTCTCATAAGGTGAACCCACATGGTTGCCGAGTGACCAAAGGTTTCCTGGAGCATTGCCATCCTTCTGCTTCCTGGACAGCTCCACCATAGTCTCTTCGTGTGCAGCATTTCTGTACGAGATGGTGATATTTTTCTTTTCTCCCTCACCCGGCTTCCCCGCCAGAATATTTAAGAGAAATAAAAAGCCTGTCCAGCACTTAAGGAGAGATGGATCTCTAGGATGACTGTTTTGTAGAAGAGCCTTCCATTGGTTCTGTAATTAAATCTTGTAACATATGGTTGAAAACCCGAAATTATATAGCATTTTTTACAGGAACTAATAATAGGAAAAAAAGACCTGCAGGTGTCCTCAGTAAACTGGCATAAATTATTATTATCTATTATTGTAGATCCGATCGGATTGTGAAGAAAAGCATCCAATCACATACAGCATCTCTGGAGTTGGAATTGATCGTGCCCCCTTCGGAATATTTGTTGTTAACCCAAGAACAGGAGAAATTAACATAACATCAATAGTGGATAGGGAAGTAACCCCAGTATTTGTTGTAAGTACTCCCCTTTTTTTCTGACCTTTATAATGGTGGATCCAGGGTGGGGCAGGGAGAGCAAAAGATGACAAATTCATTTGCTTTACATTGTTACTTTGCCTACTTCACTTTTGGTTTTAAAACAAGTAAATCTCTTTATCTAGATACGTTGCTTTGCTAAACACTCAGTGACGGGTCTTGATTTGGAACCACCTCTTGAACTTCGAGTCAGAGTTCTGGATATAAATGACAACCCTCCTATATTTGCACAAACTGTATTTACAGGATCTATTGAAGAAAGCAGTATGGACAGTAAGTAACTATGTTATGCCTATTACAGTATAGTAAATGAAGCTCCCAGAATACAGTTAATATTAAACTGGGGTGCTCACTCTATTTTTTCTTAAGCAGTGACACAGTGGTAGATGCTTCTCCAAGTGCTATTCGAGTTGGGGCTCAAACTCCTTGCCTAAAATTAAGCAGGGATTCTTCCTTCTCCCTTTCCTCCCACAGATGAATGCTGAATGTTCCAGTTTCTAACCATACCACCATGCAAATTCTTTAAGATCTGAAAATTTAAAATAAATCAATTAATTCCTTCTCATTAAAAGAATTAACATTACACCTACACTTACTTCCTTTGAGGATATATTAAATATGTTTTTTCCCATTTTTTCTATTTGAAATAGTTGTATTTGTAGCCAGAGTATTGCAGTTGCAGTAGAATATTACTAAATAAACCCTTACTTAAACCACTAAAATGGTTCTTTTTACCAAAAGTACAGCAATCAGCATTAGACAGGCAAATAGCACTGATGCAATGGTGCCACTCATATTCTACTTTCTAGAAATTCTCCTTTAAAGCTGTGGAGACTTCTTACATGACTATCTACAAGCTCAGTATTTACTGTTTTAACATAAACCCTACGGTAACTTAAAGTTCAGCGAAAATCTGCTTCACTCCATCTGACTTTAATTTTAAATGTTTTTTAAATTCGTGTTACCTTCAGTCAGAATCAGCACTACAAAATTAAACTTCTGTTTTTCTTTGTAAATGTCAAAGAATAGATAGCATTCTGTCATTTTTATACACCAAGATTTAGCACTGTCTTGATGAGGTGTTTGCTGATTTTCTGATTTGTTTTTTAATTACTATTTTTTAATTTTAGACACACTGGTGATGAAAATAATTGCAACAGACGCAGATGAACCCAATCACTTGAATTCTAAAATTGCCTTCAAGATAGAGAGTCAGGAGCCTTCAGGTCCACCCATGTTTATTATGAATAAATATACTGGAGAACTCCATCTTGCAAATTATCTTGACAGAGAGGTATCATTTTCCTTTCCAAAGTTAAATATCATGATGTTGTGGTGTATGTGTGTTAAGAGGGATGGAAGTGGGAGGGGTGGGGGAGAGAAAGAGTGTGGTTTCTACAAAAATTAAGGGAGAAATGTGGTTTTTTTTTTTCCATGTGTTACAATAAAACATCTAAGGCAAATACCTGCATTAGGAAACAGTAGCAAGATGTATTTATAATGTTTAAGATGTACAGGTGGTGCTTCTAACACACTTATATCTCTTTCTGTGACAGCAACATAGTAGCTACACTCTTGTTGTGAAGGCGTCAGACAGGGATGGAGCAGGAGATGGAATATCATCCCTTTGTAGCTGTAACGTTAAAGTTATTGATGTCAATGACAACTTCCCAACTCTCGCTCAAAGCTCTGTAAGTTTTTAATACCAAAAGCAACAGCACTGTTTTAAAACTCTGTTCAAAAGCCTTTACTAACTCTTAGAGTGCTTTCATATTTGAATGCTCCCCTGAATTGACAGGGTTACTTCTTTGAAGCATGCTCAAAATTCCACTGCTTGCGGAATAATTCTGATAACACACTGAATTCTCTGTATTCAGAGAAATCTAGTCATTCAGGTGTCCTGACCCGTGCAATATGGCCAGATTACATAAATCAACTCAATCTTTGTATGATCTTTTACAGAAAGCACAAATTCATTTCCTCTAAACTGCCTCTGCAAATACTTAAGGTGATGCAGCTCTTCAGATCTGCAACCAGAATCTGGGGGTGGAGAGACACTGGAGCAGGTTGCCCAGAGAAGTTGTTGATGCCCCATCCCTGGCAGTGTTCAAAGCCAGGCTGGATGGGGTTTTGAGCAACCTGGACTAGTGGGAGGTGTCCCTGCCCATGGCAGGGGGGGTTGGAACTGGGTGATCTTTAAGGTCACCTCCAACTCTAACCATTCTATGATTCTATGATAATCACAATTTTCCCAGTACATGAGAATGTAAATTGGCATGGACTGTGGGCAGGACATCTTTCAAAAGAATCTCTGCAGTCAGCTGTGTTTTCCTCACATTATTTATTTTAGTGTTTGCTAATACATATTTATCTGTCATTCCAGTTTTCAGCAAGTATTTCAGAAAATTCACTCAGTTCAGAACTTATACGAATACAAGCTCTGGATGCTGACGAAGAATTTACAGACAATTGGTTGGCAGAGTTTTTCTTTATATCTGGTAATGACGATAACTGGTTCGAAATTGTTACAGATCGAGCTACAAATCAAGGAATCCTTAGAGTAATTAAGGTATGGATAAATATTGCGATTCAGCTGTTGAAGTCATCATCTTAAAATAGTTTTACTTAATTGTTAACAAAATTAAACAAGGAGTAAAAAAATGTTACTCAACAATTTAAAATAGAAAAAATTTAAATAAAATTAAAGGGACATTTATTTAAATAGTTTTACTTAATTAAACAAGGAGTAAAAAAAATGTTACTCAACCACTTAAAATAGAAAATATTTAAATAAAATTAAAGGGACATTTATTTATTATCTGGTTCTTTGTGGTTTGCCTTTTAGGAATTGAATTATGAATATCTCCAAACTCACTCACTGATTATCGGTGTCAGGAACGTAGCTGCCTTCCACCACTCTGTTGCGCATGAGTACCGAATTTCTGGAACACCCCTCACAATAGAAGTGAAAAATGTGATTGAGCCACCCAGATTTCATCCATCTTCAATTATGTTTTCTGTATCACGAAACACAAGAGTGAATTATGTTGTGGGAACGTACACAGCCTTCGATGAGGACTCTGGATCTGTTGCATCAAATGTTGTGTAAGCTCTGCTCTGCGTAACTCCCTGGATGGAATAAGTCTTTTAATTGAGATTTCAATGGGATGAGGAATAGGTATTTTAAAGGGTGCTTTGGAAAACAACTCTGAAAATACTAATAGAATAACAGCAGAATAATAGCAAGAGAATAGTATATTCTTCAGCCCATTTTTTTATGCTATGATTGCATATGTAGGCATATAAGACCTTCTTTCCTTACCATTGTGCACAAGACAAAGAAAATATCATTTCTCTAACAGGTTGTAACTTAAATGAGAACATATGGCTTTTTTAACACAACCTAAGAATACTTTTTCTTGAAATGTTTGCTACAAAGAGGGTATTTGTTAGCATCTCTAAAAAAGCAAGCAAAAACCCCAATAATGGGCAATATTATACAATCAGAATACAAGAGGTCACTACCAGCTCATTTCATAGTAAAAAATAATTTTTTTAAAAAATGACAGTCATTTCTGCTGATATTAATGATGATTCATGGGACCACAATTTGCTATTTAATGTATGTAGAAATCAATACATCTCTCTTACAAAGGTTTGAAAAGCTTTCATAAAACAGAGAAATATGTTAGCAAATACAACTGTGGAATGTTAGAGGAATAGTTGTGAATTTAACCACAAGAACAAGGCTTCTAGTAAAGGTTTACAGGGTCCAGAAAGACTTTACTTTTAGACTATGATACCACTTTCAAAATATGATGGACTTCTACACATTTACTTTATTCTTAATTATTTTTCTGGTCTATATCTTTTGAAGTCTACAGGAATTTTCCTTGAACAGGGTGAAATACAATTGGACCTAGCACAGCCTAAAGGAAAATATTCCAAAGTGACAAATATTATTTTCAAAATTAATATGTTAATATTAATACATTCATAACTTAATGCTAAGTATTTTTACTTCACCAAATACAGATATAGTATCGGACGTGATCCAGCTGCCTGGTTCAGAATCAATCAAAACACTGGTCAAATCACACTGAACAAAGTTGTAAACCGGGAATCAATCTATGTAATCAATGGGCAGTACAAAGCAGAGGTTCTGGCTATCACCAGAGGTAAGAAGAGACATTAAGTTTTCTGAAACATAATCCTGTTTGTTCCTGATGCCTCCCAATGTTTTTTCCTGTTTCCAGTTTTCCCACCTGAACTGCATTATTTATAGTACCAATATTCCCTCCTGACAACAAATATCTTCGTTTTACAGGGGTTCCTCGATATACTGCTACTGGCACCATTGTGCTTACAATAGAAGACACCAATTATAATTGCCCAACTATTAATACCGAAATAAGGAAAGTATGTATGCATTCCCCATCAGTGATTATCACAGCCAAGGGTATCGATGGTGATGCGTATGGTTTCCCCTTCACGTTCAGCATACATGGTGAACCTCAAACTACATGGATTATCAGATCAATAAATGGTAAATTAATCTACATTTTATAACAGAATAAGCCATAGTAATAAGCTTTTGTCTAAAATAGCAGATTAGGATAACCTTTTAATAAAAAACAAAACAGTTATTAGAATCTATTCTAACCTCACTTAAATGTGATTTTATGTTCATATGATAAAACAGTTATTAAAATCTCACTTAAATGTGATTTTATGTTCATATGAGCCCAAGAAGTTCCTCTGGGTTATATATCTACACATATACATATACGTATGCGTATATGTATATGTGTATATATATAAATTCATATTAAAACTAGAATCAGAATCTTTACATATGTTTTATCAAAAAAATAGAGCAGCACAACTGTACTTTACTTGAGGGTATCTATGATAAGCACTTCTATTGGTCTAAACCTAATGAGGTAATTCCAAAGGAGTAATTTGATACCTTTTTGTTTCTATATTATCTAAAAAATTCTAAGAATATGACAAAACCCCCACATTTATTTATTAGAGTATAAAGTTATTAGTTGCAGTCTCTTATGAAACTCATATGAAAATGGCAAATAAACATTACAGCTTTTGCAATCTATTGTACAAATTGTATTTACTTGTATTTCTATGAAAAACATTTTAGTCAGTGCCCAGTAGAGCTTTTCCATTTTTCTTAATGAGGATGTAACAAATTAATGAATTAATCAAATCTCATATATTACTAAATGGCAGTATTTCCATAAATTCCCGTACACATAGAAGACTATATTACATGGTAAATATTGCAATTAAAACTATTTTTGTTTCTCCCATTTGTACTAAACAGATGCAAATATGTAACATTTTAAAACTGCTGAAAAAACTTTTGAAAAATACATGTAAATTCCTTGTGAGAGAATAAAAAAAATGATATTTTTTTTGTTCATAATTGTGCGAATAAAACCCAGGAAAAGCAGCAGTAGATATTAAAAAATGCATTTGCCCCTTTTAAATTTCTCAGGTTAAAAATTGGTAACTGTACTAATCTGGCTTAGGTTTTCCGAAAGAAAGAAGTAGCATACATGAATATCATAAATTTCAGCTTTGAATAAGTACTGCAGACACATAAGTAACTGAAGATCTAGAATGGGAATACATAGTTTTCATTCTGTTCTATTAATATTACCCACAAAAGCTATAGGTTTGTACAATATCCATAGTCAATACTATAATCTAAATATTTTTCTCTTTCCTTTATTTTTTTCCCCAAAGCTTCCTCTGCAGAACTAGTGACTCAGAACATGGAATTTTACCTTTATAGGATCTATGTCACTGTAAGTGATAACCAAGGCCGACGTTGCTCTAGACCACATATAATTCCTGTGCAAGCTTGTCAGTGTGATAGTCGTAATTACTGCACCAATGGGGCCACGACAGTAATTATCATTGGTGATGGCGGTAGAGAAACAGGTGGCGACACTGGTACGACTACACCTGGAGGACGAGAACCTATGGACTACACAGAAGATCAAGGTTTCACTTACGGATACAGCGACGGTAGTGAAGGAAATACTGCAATCATTGATTATACCTACGTAAACGGAAACGAAAACCAGAGAGATATCCAGTCTGCTACCACACTTAGCGGTGCTGCCATTGGCTTGATGTTTCTTGGTGGATTAATATTTGTTCGTAAGTATAAAATTAGAAAACAATTCTATTAATTTTCTAAGTGATTTTTTTTTTTTAATTCTGATACAATAAAGTGACTTTCCTTGTTGATGGTTGATCTGTTGGCTCCCCTAGGACATTTGACAGAGAAAAAAAAAGCCTTTTAAATTATAATAATTTCTATATATTTTATATTCTACATACTTACATAAATATTTCATTCAAAATAACAATTTCCTTCCTAAGACTTAGGGGGCTTTTTCCTAAGGTGTTACCCAATTCTCAGATCATCAGACAGGGAAAAAATATTTAGTAGAAGATTCAGAAGATTTTGGGCAAGAGCTGTGCCTATCACTTATGGGTTACACTTTGCAATTCGTACTTCTGTTACATTAGTAAAAGGAACGGACAAGTATCAGCTCCAATTTGGTTATAATAAGATGTGAAGAATAAGCTTCCTTTGAACTCAAAGCCAGACTTCAGTAATAGAACAATAAATACAATCATCTTAAATTTTGAACCTTTTGGGTATTGCTGCCAATCATTACATCTATTACAAACAAGTAGCATTAGAGATAACAGGATCAAAACAGATCATTCATTCATATGTCCTAGTATTTTTGAAGAAATACTAGGTTCAGGGTTAAGAATTACTTGAGTTAGACTTTATGCAAGCAATTACTTCTCAGACCACCACAATCAGATGTTACCATCTTTCTTTCACATCCTGGCCACCAAGCAATCAACATCTAAAATTTCCCAGTGCAGAAATGCCGACTACAAAACAAGAGGAAATAGATTTTCCCCCTGATTTTTTGAAAAGTGGGGTTTGGTTTGGATTTTGATCTCTGGTTAGTAGGAATCAACAAACACAAAAATTCCCAAGTGATTACTGGTTACAGGACAGACTTTTTCTTCCTTTTTAAATCTCTTCTCCTAGTTGGTGGTTTGGAGTAAATATGTCCTTAATCGTGTGAGTTAGTACTTTGTACACGTGTAGCCCTTTACCCTTTTCTCTTGAAAACTGAGAGTTTTAGATGCTCTGATTGGTCTGGTGTGCAACTGTCTCCGTCCAGTCCCTAGATAATGAGGTTACTAACTTAGCCATCTATGTTAAGGACTTGACTTAAAGACAGCCAGAATTAATATTTCAGTGCCTTTCTAAAACGAGCAATGCTTTCAATGTTGGCATTTAAAGCATTCAGCAATTTCCAACACAATTCTTGAAACAGCTAAGCCTAATACAGCACAGTGGGAAACCCAACTCGCTCTATGTAATCATTTGTTAAAACTGGGTTTTGGGGTTTGCCTCTATTGTTTTTTCAAATCAAGCATTATGTATATACGATGTGAAAAATGCAACTGGAGCCTTAGCCAAAGATCACTGTAGCCAGATGGATATCTCTCCACTGATTCTCATACATCTACTATTATTAATATATACTTCTTTTCAATTAAAATATCTTAAGAGACAAATGTATGCTTATATATCAAGAATGAATATCACCGAATGCTATACATAGCAAGACTGGTTCTGTTTGTTTAATTTTCATATGTATGCAATTTAAATTCATTCAGCTGAGGTAGATCAAAGTCTGTTCCCAGGTGTATAGGCATAAATTTGGAGCAACAGCCCTACTCCACCCCCACTTTGCTCTGTTACAACTAAAAGTACAAATTATTCTGAATTTCCAAATACATACATTTCCAAAAGAGGCTAATGATTCCAACAGCCAGACTTTCAGGATGCTTGGTTTGAAGCATTTTAAAAGACATGTTTTCAAAAGTTCTTGAGCACCTGCCCTCTGGGAAAAGCAGCTTTTCCTGGGAGGAAGACATGTCCTAAATCCCTCTTTCCTGTTTCTTTCTTGTTAAGTGATTCCAATTTTGATGTCAATGAGTGACTGTTGTGGCTGTGGACCTGGCGCTGCAGGTGGAGTTGGAACTGGATTTGAACCTGTACCTGAATGCACAGAAGGAGCCATTCATCCATGGGGAATAGAAGGCGCACAGCCTGAAGACAGGGTCAGTACATCCCATGTTTCTAGAACCCGCAGTAACTCATATTTACAGAAAAGACTGCATTTGACTAGAAGCATGAAAGTGATTGTAGAACTGTGTCTTTTTCTAAAAGAAGCCTGGCACTACCAGCAATTGCCAGGCAGATGTGAAAGGTGATTCTTAATTAGCACTGGCAGATGGAGTTTGTGTGTTTTCAGTTGGGTTCAGTTAGTTTAGCCCAACAGTTTGGTATTACTATCCCTTTAGCTGAAACACAATAACTAGCAAGCTTTTTCAGTGCAAAGTAGGACAAGGTAACACAAACCATTCTTACTGATCACCTTTTGTGTTGACAATGAAAAAAACTTAAATAGATCTTTTTTCTCTTTATTTTTTTTTAATGGGGATGGTAATTAATAGCTATCATTAAAAGTTTAGACTGCTAATTCCTTAACTTGATTCACAAAGTCTTGGTCTTCATATGGGAATTTCAAAGTCATCATTAAAGGAGTCAAAATGTTGTTTTCTAGGACGTCTCACACATTCTTGCCCCAACAACAGCTGCAGGAGGTGATTTTGGTGAACCGTCTGGTAAGCAGATCCTAAAATTTTCTATGTGTATTGTCATAAAGCTGTCTTTCAGAGGTTCGTGTCTTCTGATTCAAGGAGCACTTTGGTTTCACAACTATAACCCAACATTTCCAATCTTACACCTGCAGATAGTCAATTCAGCATTAATAAAGGATCTGAGGTCTGAGCCTTTGAGCAGACTTATTTCTGCAAACTGCATTTATTTTGAAATATCTGCCAAGGCTTTCAAATCTCAGGCAATTTTTCTTTATCATTCCAGCTAGTGAATGGAAGGTCTTTTCAAGACACCAGTTTTAATACAAATCAATCTTGAGGCCAGAATAAGGAATTTTTCTTTCATAACTCAGTGGTGAAAGGTTCAGTTCTTCCCAGTTTCCAGGCTCTACTTCCCGCAAGGGAGAGTAGAACCTGTCAAGTAGCCAGTTAATTACTGAGCTTGTGCACTAGCCTAGACAGAAAGCTGGTACATAGCACAATAAATTAATGCTTGTGAGGTAAGGTTCTCCTAGGAATTCGATGGCCATAGAGAGTAAGTCAAGCTGTGCAGTCCCACTTTCTCTTTTTCCCCATTCCTTACTTCACAACAGGAAGGAAGGAAGGATGCTGGCACACATCCATTTTCACTAGCTTCTGACAGGAAGAAATGTCACTCCGCAAGACAACTTCTCAGATGACTATTGATTATTCCAAATGTTCTCATCCTTAAGGTAAAATCAAAAGAGAACATTTTGGGACATATACGTGAATTTTAAGTCCTCATTGTCAGGGAAGTTCTGCTGCCATGACAATTGAAAAGTTTAAGATTAATATATTTGATTTACTTTATTTTCACTGTTCAGTACCGTTATGGTGAAAGCCCTTGGTTCAAATTCTATAAACTGAAACTAATGAGACTAAATGAAAAAAACCAATATAATATAGCCTACATCTCTTAATGTAATCATAGTCAAGACTATCGTATGCAATTGGTTTATTACATTACATGTTGATATTTAAGACTGCTCATCCTTTGTTATCATATATGAAAAAATCTGGAGAAGATAAAATCATGTAAGTATGACTTTATAGTTTATTGTAAAGGTCATTTTTATTCTGCATTATGAACACTCCCAAATCCCCCTTAACAATTTAACAACTAGAAAATCTGAAAGCAGTTATAAAGTTATTTCTTTTAGACATCAGTTTAAGGCAAAACAATTTTAACCCTAATGTGATCATAAATATTCATTTATGTATTTGCATAAATATCCATAAGCATTATCTAATTTTCGAATGCAAATCTCATGACAGCTTTTATGTACACCAGACAGAGGAATATCACCAGTCAATTACAAAAGTAAATCATTGATTTTCAAAAGCACATATGCACACACTGTCTGGCCTCAGGAATATAGTCAAGGTCATAGATGTCTGCTAATATGCACTTAATTTTTATTGCAGTTTCAATGTTTGGCACCTCTGCATGGATCTGTGACTTAAATTAGTCTAAAACACCTTTAGAAACTCAGTAGAGTCATTGTACTATTTGTAAAAACAACTGGCAAATTCTGTGTAAATTTTCAAAACACACAGGAAGAATAACTTTTTCTGTTTTCAGACATATATACAAACACCTATGGAGGAGGAGGAGTAGTAGCTTCTGGTGTTGAAGAAACTACAGGGGTTGGCTATGGCACTGGTACTGGTTATGGAACAGCTGGAGGAATTTCTGGAACAGGAGAAGTAAAAGGGTCAGTTGGAGGAACAATAAAAGAGTGTCGAGAAGGAGGAGTGAACATGGCCTTCTTAGACAACTACTTCTCTGAGGTAATCACTTAATCTTCCTTGTGTTATATCTATGAGCCTACTGTTAGATTCTCCTCCTCACGTTACATGGTGGAAAACAAAAATAACTCCACTCAAATTGAAACTTCCATGATATGAGACTGGTATGAGGGCAAAGCTGACTGTACTAGTAGGAAAAATTATGACACTGGTAGTACTGCTTTTAAGCTGGTGCCATACGAGATTTGATTGCTTGATAGTCTTTTTGTAAAACTGATGGACACACTGCAAGTATGGGTAGCAAGCTATGAAATTATTTCAGCTTTGTTAAGTGACCACCAAATTTATATATTTGCCACCTTTTTTCAGTGTATAAATTGATAATAACTTTGTGAAATTGTTCACACCTACTTCCTGTACAGCTAGTTCAATGAAGTGACTTTAACCCTTAAAGAACTGTGAACACCAGTTCAATTTTTTCCTTATTTTTATTGCCATTTCTATTCCCTGTAAGACTTGTGAACTGCAAGTGACACAAACATGTAGTTTTGTAATTGGCAACATATTAATTAACCTTTGGGATTAAAAAATGCTATGGAGTTTACACGATTAATGGATTAGTGGGATATATTTTCATAATTAGCACAAACTGTGAGGCATAAGTACCATAACTGCGTATGTCACCAAAATATCAATTAATACATAAGGATCGCTGTACTTCAAAATCTAAACAAGATTCATTGGAGGAGAGGACAAAGCAGTCCTGAAGTCCCGAGCATGGACTTTTCGCAGACCTCAATCTCCATTCCTGGCTGGGAGCACGGGGTATCAATTGTCTGCCCATCATAGGCCTCCCCAAATTACTCCTCCTACAGACCATCTCAGTCTCCAAACCCTCTGCCTCTCCCTCCTGGGCCTCCCCTTCTGTCCTTTCCTGCTTCCTCCAACCTCAACCCATACTCACTTTAAATTCTTTCCTTTCCTGCCCGATCTTTCTGCACTGACCACCCCACCACCCCCAACTCCATCCCAAATCAGTCATCTCCACCCTGCTCAAAATGGATTCCCCTCGGGGATCATGAAGACTTCCCCACTGTGGCCAACCCTCCAACCCAGCCTCTCTGTCCTGACCTCTCCACTGCTCCCCTCACCATCATGCTTTAGTCCTCTTCCTACTGTTTCATTCAGATATTTCTGCCCAAAGAGTACATTTGTTCCCCTGTCCCTTTCACTCTCTCCCTTCACCCCACAGTCAGACCCACTGAAAACAGGCCAAATTTGAGATGCTAAGTGTTGGCAGAAACAAGAATAAAACATCAGTAATGTTTGAATAAAACTTATTTCAAGGTTGCAAAAATGTTGATGATATAATTTGTCCTGTCGGTGTCCTGTTTTTCAAGCTAGCTAGGTCTTACTGTGTTTAGGGAAACCTTACTGTAGTTTGAGTCTTCATGGTTAAAAACCTGATAAAAAGTCACTCTGTTCTTCCTTTCTTTTTTTTTTTTGGTTGTTTTTTTTTGTCTGTGTTTTTGCAAACTGCAGAAAGCATTTGTGTATGCGGATGAAGACGAAGGTCGACCAGCAAACGACTGCCTATTAATATATGATCACGAAGGAGTCGGTACTCCTGTTGGCTCTGTGGGTTGCTGCAGCTTTATTGGAGAAGATACAGATGAAACATATTTGGATACATTAGGACCAAAATTTAAGACCCTGGCAGAGATCTGCCTGGGCAAAGAGATCGAACCTTTCCCTGATGCCAACCCAGCCTGGCCATGCGTTAACCTCAACTTTCCCAACCCTGAATGTGATCTAAACCTCCCACCACCTGGAACCACCATCATTGTAAACGGATGTGCACCTATGCCTCCCCCAGTTGGCACCACAACGGTTGTTACTGAAAACACCTACACATCTGGGTCAACTATACAGCCCCCAAGGCCGATGCCAGATCCTTTGCTCCACGGCAACATGACGGTGACTGAGACCTACACCTCCGGCTCCCCCTCCATTTGCGTTGACCCTCTGCGTGCGTCCAACGTTGTTGTAACAGAAAGGGTTGTTGGTCCTGCATCTGCCTCTGATTTGCGCGGCATGCTAGATATCCCTGATCTCACAGATGGGTCCAATGTCATCGTCACGGAAAGAGTAATCGCACCCAACTCCCGGCTCCCAGCCTCTCTGAGCATTCCTGATTTGGTAGATGGGTCAAACGTGGTGGTTACAGAAAGGGTATTCAGGCCTGCCTCCGGCATGCCAGGCAGCTTAATAAATATTCCTTCGGAGTTATCGAATGCCCACAATGTGGTGGTCACCGAGAGGCTAGTGTCAGGGTCTGGGATGAGCAGCATAGGTGGGACGAGCCTAGGAGGAACAAATCTGGGGGGCCTGAGCAGCACAGGTCAGATGCTTGGTGCCGACTGTCACCTTGGCCAGGCAATGGGCACCGCGTCCCCTGGCACCTCCCGGAGAAGAGTGACAAAGTACAGCACCGTGCAGTACTCCAGTCAGTAAGGCCTCTGCCAGTGCCCCTTCCTGCTGAAATTGCCATTTGCACCAACACTTGTTAGCTGCCACCCACCAAGAATATTGATATGATTTATAACTAGGAAATAGCGCTAAAGTTTCGGGGATTCCTACTCGTGCGAGGATCTCTGAAGGGTGCCCCGTTTCAAGGTCAAATGCAGGACTTTGTCAGTAAAGGGAAAGTTGAAGTAAGCTTTAAATGTATTTCTTTCTCTCCACCTAGCACTGCACGTGTACAAACAGATACCAATGTTTTTGGAGAGAGATCTGGTTTCCGAGCAGAGCAGTGAGAAGGGATCCTTGCATGCAAACGTTATCAGCATGAATTAATGTCATACAAAAAAGTATTAAAATGCTGTACTGCTGAGTGATCCCCCACAATAAGTAGATTTGGGTTAATAGCCCCTAACTGACAAGACAGGAAAAGAATGTAAATAATAATTAGTCAACTCAAGACTAAACAAGCACTTTCAAATGCATCACTTTACTTTGCATGTAATTCAAGGAGCGCTACAAAATGGCACTTTCAATCATTTCTCCCATCACCAGCAACAGTTATAAATAATACTCATACAAACAGAATACATTTTCATTGTCTTCTCAAGTTCTCAGTAAAACAAACACTCTGCCATGGTCTGCCACGTTGTTGCTCTCATGGCAAGGAGTGTGACCAGCAATTTGCTGCAGCCAGCACTGCCATGTTGACACCGTCACCCAGGAAGATGTTGCCTTCACCTTTTCTCCATTACCATTACAGCTTTACTTAAATCTGAAAGGACTTCAGTGACAACCAGGAGCTCTTAGTCAGATCTTTGTGCCAAACTATGGCTACCATTTAAGTCTGCAATGTCAGGTTCTATTAAGAGGGCTATAATATATATACCATGCCAGTTCTCTTTTCTCATACTGACAAGAAAAAAGTCTTAGAAGCTTTGTGACAGGTGGAGGTAATAGCAAGTATTGTATCACTCACGCTGCTAGCTGAAGTCCTTCATGAAAAAGAAAAAACACTTGGGAGCAATATAAATTTGCTAATAAGCAATTTGGAGAACTATTATTTCATATGTCAATGTATTTTGCATTGATATTTTGAAAGCTTATTTGAATGTGTTAATTGAAAAAGTCTTTAAACGTAATTAAATCTGGCTTTTATTTTCCCACAAAAACAGCTCTACTGGACTCTGTTATTCTAATAGTACCTTAACATGGCTTAGAATATGATCTGAAGGAGCAAAATACCAAAATTTAGTATCTATCTCATTTTACTTCTGTATCATATGTATAGTAACCACAGTGTATGCAACATCACTTCAGTGTAAATACAATAGAGTTATACAGAGGGACTAGATTTTTTTTGGTAGAGCACCAACTCAATAGTTTTCCCTCAAATTTTGCTTCTTCAGCATTGATGGATAGGTTAGTGAAAAGTTTAAGAGTTGTCTGTGAGCCTCCCACTCTCTAAAACGGAGAAGAAACTTTCAGTTGCGTTTCCAGATTAACTCACCTCAGAAAAACTGGATGACAAATTCCTGAGTCTGATATCAGGAAAAAGCTTTTTAAAAGATGCTTTTGGAAATGCAACTAGATCCACTGTCAAAGACAACCTGCAGTGCCCTCTGAGTCAATGCCACAGCCATTAACACCAGTGGCTCCCAGGAGTCATGACCAAATCCCAGGCTACCTCAAGAACGGCTCCCTTCCACGGCTTCATGTTTTTTTCTGAAGCAACTAAGTGTACTCGATGCTGTCCTCATAATATCTGAAGTACTGCTATTTCTACTTCATCCTGTAGCCTTGATGATCTTAAGTATCACTAAAATTGCATTGACTTCAGTGGGATAAGTCTCTCCTATACGTTATGTACCAACTGTAAGTATGGTTTTTGGAACCATTCTTTAAAGAAGGAAAACAGGTACTAATATATAAAGCTGTATCCTTTTATATCTGGAGAATTTGTGCTGAAATTCACTAAAATGCTGACAAGCTATCATTCATTTATTTACATAAAAAAGCAAATATTTGAAATATGTATGATTTCAGATATTTAGAAAGCCTATGCAATATAGCCAAAGCCCATTAGAGATATTTTTTAATGTAAAAAAAAAAAAAATGAAGTCTTGTGTAAATATTTCTATAATCATCTGATGCAAATCAGATATATTTTTCCCAACTGTGCTTCAAAGTAATATCTAGTTTTCAGAAGCACACGTGGAATTCTTTGTGACCCTCTTGAACAGGAATGCTGTGTGAAGTATGAGTGTCTGAACTAACCGTGGTCTCTTGCATGTTTAGAAATAGAAAGGGGAAGAATTAATAGAGAAAGTACAGGTTTTGGTGATGTAGGGGTTGTCTACTTCTAGTACTATCTTTTACCAACTTTTTAAAGATAAGTGGTGTATTATTTAATACAGTTTCTTGAAAGATTTCTAGCATTTTTTAATATCAGTGTCTCACATCAAACAGCAATAACATTATCCCTCAGCACTTTTCTAGTGCATTTCCGAATATTAATGTCTATTGCTGTCTAATTTTTACAAACTTTCTTAGAATTGTTTTCTTAGTGAGATGTGGACATTTTTGGGTTACTGCAAATTGTGGAAGAAAAATGTATCTGAAGGTGTGAACAAATACTTGGTTCATTAAAAATTCTGGGCAAATTCTTTTTCTAGCTTCATTCTTAAAAAAATAGCATATAGTTTAATCCTGACTAACAGACATTAGTTTTGTTTCTTTTATTTCTGTTCCAATTTAGAAGCCCACTTGCTGTCTACCTTTAATCATGTTGTTTAATAATGAGCAATGAATGGTTTTCAGGAAAGAAAGGCAACTTTGAGTAGTGATATTAATCCTGCAAGCAAACCATGCAAGCAAAAAACACTTATTAAAGTGTCAGCAATGTGCAACACCGAGTCTATGGCTTTCTTTTTTCACTTGGGTTTTGTAGAGAAGGATCCTACAATTTTACACTGGCTCACTGAGCTCTTGGCAGCATGAAAAGCATACTGCCACAGAAGAAAAGAGAGCCACAAGCTGCAGGTCTCATTAGATTTCTGTCTTGGGAATACTGTCTGAATTTGAACTGCAGGTTTCGATTCTTTTTACTCAGTCCTGATTTTGTGGTAATAAATAACTTGTGAGCAGCACCTACTACTTGTAATAGGACAAGACCATACAATTTAAGCAAAAATTTTAAAAAGTCTGTTGTTTTGCTCGAATTAACATAAATGCTCCTCATTATTGAGTAACCAAATGCATCATTTTCATTCTATTTAAAATATAATTAATATTACAGAGTTATTGTGTTTTCATAAATAAAAATATTAGAGATTTGTTTGTAATTATTTCTGAATGGCACTGAAAATATGCAATAAATGATCATTTGGAACATCATGTTTTAAGGAGAGTGGCTCAGAATATTACTTTTTTTCCTATTATCAATGGAAAATGTAGTTTCCTTAAAATTGCTGCCTTGCGCAAGAAAATTCTAGAATTACTTTTCTTTCAGGAAAAAAAAAAAAATAAATCCAAGGTATTGATTTAGAACATCAGAGCATCCCAGGGTGAAACTATTTCTTCTATCAAATTGGCTGAAATTTTACAAAAAGGAGAACAATGGCAAAATTACAACTGTTGACAGTTTTGGATGCACTTTTGTATAATGACAAATCTGACATTTTCCTATTGCATCTTGTTATTAAAGATGCAATTAAACAGCATTTTGTAATTCAAGACACAGCACAATAAGGTATGAAACAGAGCAGTCATTGAAACCCCATTTAGGAAACAAAAGCTGCTTAACTGACATCCATCATGTACCCTGACCTTTGATATTCATCATACACTGTTGGGACTACCTGCAAATTTAGTTAGCTTAGCTGTTTAACCCTTTTATTTTTCCTGTTTTTAGGAAAGCTCTAAAAACTACATCAAAATTCATATACTACAGGCTTTTTTCCCAACTCATTCATTAAAGATTTGATTCCAGCCAGTCAAAATCCAGGTAAAATAAATAGTAATCTTGTACCTGCAGGCTTTGATCTTACAGTGATGCAGAACCAAAGCTCCGGGTGAGGGGTCTGTCCATGTGCCAGTCAATGCAGGCTCAGGTTGCCAGGGAGGCCAACCATCTCACCACACCAGACCAGGACCCAAGAGACAAAGATCTCCCCAGGACTCCTTATAGGACTTCAGTAAGTTGTTTCATTTTTCCTAATCTTCAATAAATTGTCTTGGAAAAGGGGAATGACAACTTAATCTCTTCCCTTTAGGAATATGATTATAAATTCATCGACATTTGTAAGATGCTCAGGTGTTAAGGTGTTTTGGTAAGATATATATAAATACATTGCTAGCAACGTGCCTGTAGCACGCATGAGCCTCTTGAGCCTCTCATGCCAGATGTCTATTAAAATGAAAGCCATTTGACTGTAAAATCGACTCTAGATCAATTATTCATATATAAATAGCAAAATAACAGCAACATGTATTAATAATAGCAGAAAAGTAATGCTTTTCTTGTGGTGTTTCAGGGTATTTAAGTCTGACTGTTATCTCTTTGGTTTCCTTAGTTAACATCTTACTGAATATAAACGGCCATGGTGGGCTGCAGGTGCACCATGCAGAGGCTTAGAAAGGGACTAGAGAAATTAATGTGTAACAGGTCTATAAATAACAAACTAAATAGCCTCGCCTGGGTGAGTACTAGGGGATGGACTGCAAGCAATGGGCAGGCTTGCACACACTTTCTAAATGGCATCTCCCATTGCCATTTTCAGAGACAGAAAGAAAAGCAACACACCCATTTTTCTTTTAAGTCTTATCAGTTATGCCCCATTGTCATGCGGAGCGTGCTTTCAATTTTATTACGCCCAAGTTCAGAGTCTAATTGGAAAACTCAGTAGAAGTATGGCCAGTGATTGCACATAATTGCTTTATCACCTTTGAAGCATTGCCTAGTCTCAGTTCTAGGAGATTGTCTGGGATTTACACTTTTTACAGATGAATCATCTGAAAGCATCTGAAACAGGAAAGTCTTAATGGAAAGTTTTCAGTCTTAACACTGATGTTAACCAGTATGGTTTGCACTTTCTCCCATTCACAGCTCTGTAACCAGTAGGAAAGAAATGAATGCAGCCTTTGGGTCATTTGGGATATTTTGCCTTTTGTCATCAAAATCAGAACATACTTTGATTCAACAGGAATGGTTCAAAGCTGTGCCAGGGGAGGTTTAGACTGGACATTAAGAAACATTTCTTTACTGAAAGGTTGGTCAAACACTGGAACAAGCTTCCTAGAGAGGCAGCCGATGCCCCAAACCCGTTGGTGTTTAAGACATTTGGCATTTGGACAATGCCCTTAATAATATGCTTTAACTTTTGGTCAGCCCAGAAGTGGTCAGGCTGTGGGACTAGATGATTGTTGTAGGTCCCTTCCAACTGAACTAATCTGTTTTGTTCTGTTCTGTTCTGTGCTATTCACTTTCTGTTCTATTCTATTCTATTCTATTCTATTCTATTCTATTCTATTCTATTCTATCCTATCCTATCCTATCCTTTCCTTTTCAATTCTACCAGTTACACAGCAGAGCAATCATTTGTTTGTATGTACCTAAATGCTCTCTGTCCTGTAAGCTTTCCCACAAAGACCATCACACTACCCTGAAAAAGCAGTCTACAGGCAACTTCAGAGAGGCCTCGGTTGCTATGCAGAGGAAAACAACAGAAGAGTTGCTCTGCCACTCCTTGTTCTGTACACATAAAAGACACTATTTCATGCTGTCAGGCAGTAACAAAACGCCTGTGTTAGGCAAAAGGATCTGGTCTGGCTTTTTTACAGCTCAGCCGGTCCCACAGCTTATGGCTCGGCAGGCAGACTGACTTCTACAGCCACAGCAGGCACCTGGAAAGTTAAACAACCCGGACACACCAGAAAAGAACAACCAGGCAGGCAGCAACCAGGAGAGTGGACACAGGGGAGAGAACTGAAGAGAGAGCGATAAGGAGAAAGCAGCAAAGAGAGGAGGCAAAGCAAAAGAAACTTGGGGGGGATTATTCCTGGTGGTTATAAGGGACTAAACAGCTTGAATTTGTTTAAGGAGTGTGTCAAGAGGTGTGGAGAATCAAAAAAAACAGTTAATGCACATGGCAAAAACAATGGCTCCGGTCTGAGAGTGCCATATGTTTACTTAAAGTATCACACCCCGTCGCTAATGTACTTCTCTCCTCAGTCCACGCATTTTGTTCCCCAAAAGGTCCTGCTCCTGCAAGCACTTTGAACCTGGTAACTGCACCAAATGCAACTGCTCTGGTCCCAAGGACTGTCTGGGGGTTAGGAACTGTTTCTGTGACGTGCATATTTTTTCACAGAATATGCATTATCCATTATATTTTTTTAATAACTAAATGGAATTTTGATATTTTCATGCACAGCCTCAATACACTGCTTTCTACTGGGATCTCCTCCTAAAAACCGAGTGGCAGCTGGGGCATAGTGCAGTAAAGAATCTTTAAACAATGCAGAAAAGATTAATTTCAAACAATGTGAAATATTTGCATAACAGCTTCGTATGAATCGTAAATGAACGTCAACATTCCCTTACTCAGAACATACACTGGATTTTTCCACCTTAATACCATTTGCTGGAAACTTCACTTGTCTCATTCGATTGAATTGTTTGTCTGAAAGAAGAAACTGTGTTTTTTCTAGAAAAAGAAAGAAGAAAGAGAAGAAAAAAAAAAAAAAAAAAAGAAAAAAAAAAAAAAAAAAAAAAAAACCCAAAAGTGCAAAAAAAAAAAAAAAAAGAGAAAAAAAAAAAAAAAAGAAAAAAACAAACCACACAGCTGCAATAAAGTTACCTTTGCTTTTGTATGAAACAGAGGTGGATTCTGCTGGTCTGATCTAAAGCATGTCCTTGTCCTCCACCCCAGGGAAGCCAGGACTTGCTTGGCACTGGTGTAGAAAGCATTACTCAGCGTGAGGAGGGAGTGGCAGGCGGATCTGGGAACAAGGTGAGGTTTTGGGGGAGTCACCCAGCGCCAGCCACTGTCCCTTACACCGAGGCCACTCGGTGCAACCATGACTCACCAGGATACTTGTGCTGACAAGTGTTATCCCTGAAAGCAAACGGTCTCCAGAGAAAAGTTAGGTTGGTTTAGACAATAATTTATTTATTTAGACAATATTTTATTTATAGACAATATATTTATTATCAAGAGAATTTAGACAGATGTTTGTGCTTTGAGAAAAGACCACCCTGGTGCGCCCCGCACACCTCACCAGGCACCGAAGAAGGGCTCAGCCACCTTTATAGTTTGAAAAGCAAAGATGAACTTCCTCTTTGTTTGGTGGGGTCGGTGACTCTGAGCTGCTGCTGTCTCCGGAGGGAAACCAAAGACCTAAGGCTGCGTGGATCCTCCCCTGCAAACGGACTGCGGGAACTGGGGCTTGGCTGTGGGAGGAGGAGGGTTTCGCAACCGCCAGGTTAGAGTGGAGGAAAGACAAAAAGAAATTCTACTTCAGTGGTCAGTGACACAGCTACTAGCTATGTTAGAAACAAATTCATGCTGTTTGGCATTTCTTTCATAACATCAGGCAAATTATTTCTGTAAATTATCACTAATAGAAGTTTTCCATACAAGGGAACTAAGTAAAAAAAAAAAATAAGCCCCAAACTTTTTTATGATGACTGAGGGTCTCGTAGGATGCACAGGACATGTAGCTGACCCACGTGAAAGTTATAAGCAACATAAGAACAGACGTCTAAATTCCGGCAAAATAATTTCCAAAACAGCTTCTGTCCCTTTGTGGCTACTGAGCTCTGTGAAGATGAGATGATTCTACTCATTCCTCCCGTAAACACGTAGGTAACTTCAAAGGGAAATCAATGCTAAGGATTTTTCAAAGGGAATTAAACTAGCTTTTTACTCTATCATATCAGCATTAAAAAATTGGCAAATAGTTCTAAATATATATAGTTTCCAATAATTCATTAACACTATGTTGAATAGGCAACCAAAAACTTTATCAGAATTCCAGAGAGCTAACTTTCAGATTAAGAACAAAGTTGCAAATCAAGGTTCTTCTCTTGCAGCCTTTTGATGTAAAGAAATACTTTCAAGTTATGCTCAACCACCAGGCTGTAATATACAGCTAGAATCAGAATCTACTTCTGAATCACCAAATTAAAAGTAGCGTAATATGAAGGCTCTCCGAGACATGCTCTGCTTCATTTATCTCAAAGAGGAATCTTTTACTAATATTTTTACTTTTACTAACTTTAGCTGCACTAGCCACACTGGCTGTTAAACCTATACAAATGACACCCCTGCCCTTGAGATGATCCTCAGAGAATCTCGGGGTGTATTCTTGTGCAAATGTACACATTTCTGTTGGGTTACAAAGCGACCAGTCCCAGCAGTGACTCAGTGACAGAACCAAGGAAGAATACGGAAACCCTTAACCCTGTGCGTTTCGTGCATATTGGCTTGTTTCTGCCCTCTTGCTTACTTTAAATTAAGAAAATTATACTAGCGCAAAGGGTATCAGCAAACTCTGTAAATTGTGATATTACATGGAAATAATACTAATAGATACGCATAACTTCGGAATAAATTGTGAGGTAAAACCATTTCCCTTGGGATCCACGTGTAAATTATAATTGTTGCAACTGATGTCAAACGCAATGTGAAATTATTTATGAAATATTATTTATGAAATTATTTGTGAAAATCGAGCATGATCTTAGAACGATTATTTAGGTGAGTGCCTCAAAGACAAGAGGACGTGCGGGAAGTGTGTTTAATCGTTTCACCACCCGTGAAGAAACAGTTATGCCTTCGCAAGCACCAATTAATCAGGTGTATCCAGGAGAGATCTCTGCCAGACAAGGAGCAGGAAGGATATGGCTCGGAGCGCCTTAAAAAGAAGGCTACGGGAAAAGTCACGCTGAAACAACTCTCGGTTTTATTTTCCCACGAGGCTCTATCCCCTTCCTATCAAATACTCGTTAGTTTATTGTTTTGCTGTCCTACACGCTCCAACTCGCTTTCCCCAGCGGGAATGGGGGGGGGATGATAAAAAACATCAAACTTTTGACAGCCCTGAGGGTAATGGCGGCGGCCTACCTCCCCGTCCCCACCCCAACCCCATCCACGGACGGGCCCTCAGCAGCCTCGGGGGCGGGGGCCGGAGCTCCCCGCCGCGGGCCGGGCCCGGTCCAGGCCAGGCGGGGCCGGGGCGGGCCGGGCCGGGCGCCACCTGCCCCTTTCCCGACGCGGCTCTCCGCCCGCCACACTCCACCCACCCGCGGATACTTGTGCCCCCTCTCTTCCCTGAGCCTCCTCCATTTCCCCCCCGAGGAGGTGACACACGCACATCCTCCCCCTCAAGTTGAGACGGCGGCCATGTCGCGGGCCCCCGCCGCCGTGGGGCGGCTGCTGGCGCTGATGGTGAGTGCGGGCCCCCCCCGACGGGAGGGGTCTCCCGGTACCGGGCGGTGCGGGGGGAAGGCGCTGCTCGGCCGCGGAGCTGAGGGAGGCGCGGGTGAGCCCCGCGGGGGAGAGCGGTGCCCGTCGGGGCTGGGCTGGGCTGCCCTCCCGCCGCCGGCTGCCCGTGGCTGGGAACGGGGTGGGGGTTCTGCTTTTCCTTGGAAATAGGTAAAAGCAATCGCCGTTTGCCGTCCGAAGGCGGGTGAAGGTAGCAAACCCCGGTAAGAACGGTACCTGGGATGGGAGGGTTTGTGGTTTTTTTTCTGAGGCGCCGGGAGGAACAGGAATGCAGTGAAGAGATCGTTTTGTTGTCGTCTCCGTGTTCAGCATATTATCTGTATTAATGAATTGCGTTACCTTTCTGAAGGAGTAGTGCCAGGAAGGAAAGTGGATCATAAAGTATCGTTTAATGGAAGTCCTTATTGCCTTAGAGAAATGATGCCAAATCCTTAACAGCCCACGACACTTCAGGATTCCTCCTTCCCTGCCCTGGTGCTTTTTTTCACCCGCAGCCTTTAAGGACCTTCCATCCTACGAAATACCATTCCAGGCTGAAGAGCAGGGAGTATTTCCTAACAACCAAAGCGCCTGGTTTGCTTGACTTGGCCTGATGCTTTCTAGCCGTTGGGAGATGTTTTACAGGAAGCTCCCCCTCCATATCTGCGGCGTTGCTTTTTAGCTCTTCACCGTCCCAGGCTGGAAAAACGCCCCGCGGAAGCTGGGCGGCCGCCGCCACCGCCACCCAGACAAAGGCGAGGGTGGAGGCCAGGACATGGCTGGGGAGCTGCCCAGGAGCCGGGCAGGGTTCAGGAACGGCTTGTTACACGGACAGGCTGGCAGGTGCTGTACTTTGGCACCTTGCTTCCCCAGCTCGAGAGCCTGCAAGATGAGGTTTGTTAGCTGGCCTGAGAACTTTAACTTGTGGGTTGCCACAAGCCAGCCGGTGACTCTTAACCCTGTTTCCTTGCAGCAAGCTGGGAGTTGGGGTTTGGTTGGAAATTATTTTGTCTTCGTTTTGCCCAAAAGCACAATGGGACACGTGCAGAGTGCTTCTTGTACAGAAGTTTTCACCGGTTCTTTCTGTTACACCTGAAGCCACAGCATCGTCCGTTTTGTTGGGCTTGCGCTGGGTCAGGATGCTGTTGGTTTTGCCTGAAGAAAAGAAGAAAATTGTTTTTCTCAGTCCTCCTCATCCTCAGTCTCAGCTCAAACTGGGGCAGGGTATGGTATGTTAGGAGTGAGCTCAGTTTGGTGCCTAAATGCCTCGTTGATTTTCTCAGTCCTCATCATCCTCAGTCTCAGCTCAAGCTGAGGCAGGGTATGGTATGTTAAGAGTGAGCTCAGTTTGGTGCCTAAATGCCTCATTGTCAGATAGAGTAGTAGAGCAAGTGAAGCTCCCTTATAGTTGGTTGATGTCAGAAGAAAGAGGGGCACTGCTGTGTTTTGCCTTTGATGTTTGTTTAGGTTTTTGGTTTCTTTTTTTTTCCCCTAATCAGGACAATCTGGACTAATCTGCCACTCACATGGCAGAAAGTCTAGTTGCTTGTTTTAAAGCATCATTAGGGTCATTTATAGTTTATGACATGCGAGGGTGGCACTGATTAACTTCAAAACCTTAAGAAACTACTGAAAGCAAGCAGTCTGAAAGCAGTGTCTTCCCAAAGTGTCTTCAACCTTAGAAGCATCGAGAACTGTAAATTCTTCCTCTCCCTGTTTTTCCTGGAAGTATCTCTTGGTCATCTGCTCTCCCTCCCTGCCTCCGGGCAGCATCCCTGTGTGGTCATCCCTGGGTACCTCACAAGAGGTCATGGCAGCTTTCTCCATGTCCCTGCCTCCGACTCTTTTCCAGGGATGGCCAGGCATGCCAGACAAAAGCACACCCGTAGGGCTGGGCTTGACATGGCGTGTGTCCAGGACACACACCCAGAGCCCTGGGCCTGCTGGGCAGGCATGGCTGGCAAGGATTATTAGACTGGGAGGTTTCTTGGCCATTTCTGAAGGGAGTGGACATCGTATGCTCAAGAAAGGACATCATTAAACACTTCCTACATTTGAGTGAAAGAAGAGGTGACAGAGATGTACGAAGCTTACTATGCGAGTAGCAAAACTTATTTTTGTTTCCTCTGATCATCTTCTTAGATTGTACTTCCTTGATGTTTGGAATGTTAGACTTAGGCTGGGTATGCTGAAATTTGAAGCTTACTATGCACGTAGCAAAACTTATTTTTTTTCTCTGATCATCTTCTCAGATTGTACTTCCTTGGTGTTTGGAATGTTAGACTTAGGCTGGGTATGCTGAAATTCAGTCCAGAATACATTGGATCACTATTGCAGTGCCAGCCAGTAGCAATTACTTTTCAAAATTAATAGGAACAAGTTAAATTAAAAAAAAAAAAAACAAAAACAAACCAACAACAAAAGAAAACAAACACAACTTCATGATGCTTAGTTTTAGAAAGAGCAGAGGTGAGATAATTCGAAGCAGTCTAGCTTCTATTGCCAGTAACATGCTGAAACACGGTAAAAATATTTACCAGCATCTGTGCATTGATTCAGCAATTTAATAATGCTCCAAAAAGGCAGAAGCACCAAAACCAGCGCTGTGGTGAGATATGAAAGTGGGTGAGAAATACGAAAGATCTAGTATTTATTCATCCTGTTGAATTAAAGAGGTGTGTTATTTGGGACACCGTACTTCAGAATAAAGTGAATCTACCCAGGAGATACTAATGGAAAGCAAAAAATACAGTCTGAATTGAGGAAGTCCTGTTTTATGATTCTTGAAGTGAGATTAAAGAACTGGGAACTGAGGAAAGAAAGGCGGGTAACATACATGATACATTTTCAGATATATGAAGGGTAATAGTGAAGAAAAGGGAATTGCACTGTTAGATGAGAGCGTTATCAGTATGGCAGGAAGGGAGGTTCGGGTTGAGGTTAAGAGATCTCGATATAGGTGTTTGAGTTTCTGTTACAGTAAATGCAGATGCAGTGGATGCAGAGTGCACTTACTTGGTGTGATCAAATTGTGCTTTTGAAGCAAATCTCCAGAGTGTGTGAATCTGATCCCTCCTGGGTGAAACTCTGTTGGGAGATGCATCAATCTACTCAGGGATATTTGGTCTGTGGGACCAGGCTAATTCTAGCCTGCAGTAAAAACCACAAAACACAGGTTGTGTAGTACTGGGTTCTCAACACCGACTGCTTTGCTCTACAATTCCTCTCATATTGGCCTTACTAATTAGACATAGCTACAGTCAGTAGAGCCCAGAGAGAAATAGGTATGAGATGGCTTTGGAGCAAGTTGAACTGCGCTCTGGTCTCTCTGTCTGTATGAGCTATATTTCTGTTGATTATAACAGAAGTTTTATGCACCTAGAATTTGTTTAGACATGTACATCTGTGTGCCTTAATCTGAAACTGAATTTCGTCCAAACAGCAATATGATTGACTTGCAAAGAGCTAAATATTAGGATAATAAAATTAGGATAAAAATTAACAAAGACTTTCCATCTGTAAGACCATATAGGCATCGCCTTAGGTTAGCACTGGAACAGGCTGCCCAGGGAAGTGGTTGAGTCACCATCCCTGGCAGTATTTAAAAGATGAGTAGATGTAGTGCTTAGAGATATGGTTTAGCGATGTTTTTGTCAGTGTTAGGTTGATGGTTGGACTAGATGATCTGAAAGGCCCCTTCCAACCTAGGCTATTCTGTTCTCTTCTGTTCTGGTGAGGCTGTGGGACCTCCGTCACTCACTGTTTAAAAGAACAGTTGTCAGGAAGCACGTAGATGTAGCTCATCCTGCCCCAGGGTGTGGAGATGGACTAGTAGATAACCTTGGATGGTCCCTTCAGCCCACTTCTGTAAGGGTGGAGGATCTTCACTTGCCCACTATCTTCAACACCAGACTGACTCACAGCAGGTGTGAGATCCAAACTTCCCGACACACAGCAATATGTGAAAGACCACGTTTCTAGGACTTACTGTTTCATGGTGGAGCAAATACGGACACATACCTTCTTGCTTACTCAGTCTTCATCTTTACAGTGTAAAACTAAGCTGTGTGTTCAAAGTCTGTCCTTTAGTCGCATCCTGACTATACATGAACATGGATTTGGACAAGACCAGTCTTGTGCTTCCTATACGTGGCAGTCACTTCCTTCATTCCCCTGCCCTCTTGCCTATGCCTGCTGTTTTCCTGTAGTCTTTCATTCCATTTCTATTACTTCAGGTCCCAGGTTTTCCACCTCGTTTTCTGTAACCCTCCAGTTGTCTTCTGACAATGCCTTCTAAGGCTGTGTCATCAACAGATGTCATCGGTAGATGTCTAGTTTTTGTTCCAAGGCTGTGACCCATGTCGAATGACAGACAGGGCTTTCCTACTCTTACTAAGCCGTTTAATAGAAGGCAGCTCTAGGATACTAATAAAAAGGGAAATTAAGAGCTCAACACCTTTCAGATATGTGACTCTCACTTTAAAAAAAAAAAAAAAATCATAGAAATGTGCTTTTCCCTTTTCTAAAATTTTTGGATCCTTTAAAATTTTCAATAAAAGTGCAGGATCCCTTTACATATTAGTTCCATAAGTATTTATGCATCTCTTAAGTAAAATTGCCATTCTTAAAGTCCTTTTGTAGATATCTTGGAAGTCCCTTAAGGGATTTCCTCTAGACTGTAGATTGAAAAATACAAAAGCAAAAGTATTGTTTACTTTCGTAGCAATAAAACCGTGTTTTGAGGTTGCTTGGCTACTAAGCAAAGAAATTGATTTTTAATTTTGTTATCTTAATGAAAGACTTTGTGTTGATAATGAGGGATGGAATTTTCTCTGCTTTCTTGATATGCATCTCGGTGGCAGACCTGCTTATTCGTCCAACACTTTTGTGTATACTGCAGTTGTCAGGTTTCCAGGACAAGGAAACTTTTGACCTTGTGCCTTTAGTCTTCATTCAGTATTGAGACAGAAACACCTTTCCCTTCAGTTTACCAGTAAGAACAAACAAGGATGTTCACTATGACATCTTGACAACTATTCACCTTCCAAAAGAGTTGCAGCTTCTGTTGGAAAACCTCAACTATAAACCAGAATTCTCCTGTCACTCTTGCTGAAACAATCTCATTAATCTCAAAATAAATTTTAAAAATCCATATAACTAATAAATGAGATTAAGAATATTCATAAAAACAACTTGGTCTAAGGTGTAGGATCCTGTAGCCTTCACAACGCATATCCATTAGGGAATTTAGTGCTTGTTGATTTTTGTCTTCAGAATATATACATTTGGAAAATTGCCATTTGAAAACCAGTGGTGTTGTGCAAGTCGAAACAGCAGTCTGCTACATTGCTCAACATTGTCCACCTCACTGCTGCATTGTGTGGGAAAGAGATAACATCTTTTTTTTAAAAAAAAAAGCTGTCATCGATACGGCAATCAAGGCTGAGTCAGAGGGATGGATAGGGAGGAGCCAGTCAACAGTCTCAAAACCAGTCAAAGAGAATATAAAGAAATATTCCCTGATTTATTTCAGTAGGAAATTGCCTTTTCTGTGCCTGCTTTGCCTTAGGCATTAGTATTAAAAAAAATAAAGATCACCTAATAACGTAGGTAGATGTAATAGTTCTGAGAACAATATAAGTGTTCTCTGCCTATACAAAGCTCAAAAGCTCTATTTGTTGGTTTCACGTGTTGTAATGACCTACTTTTTGCTATTGTTGTTCTCTGATGCCTACATTTTTGCACTGTTTGAGGGGTTTTGTTACACGTGGAGTCTTGGGTGCCTGGAGAGTGGATAAACACAGGGTCTCTGGTAATTTGGCTGAGGCTCCAGTTCCTTCCAGCTGGGATGGGGCACCTACCTGAGGTGTTTAAGGGCATGCTGGACTATTGCAGTGCATGAAGAGAGATGGCTAGTCCCAATGCTGGATGCTGGTTTTGTCACAGCAAGCAGGATTTGCTTGCTAGCATGCATATGTCTCAGCCTTGTTTAAGTTAGGGATGCATATATGCTGTTTATCCTTCCAGGAAGGCACTAAGTAAAGAGGTGCTTCTGTCCTGTACACTTCAGCGGATGTTTTGATTACTGCTTGCTTCTAAATGTTATTTAACCTGTTTTGTTCTCTCATGTGGTTGGCTGGTAACCCACCAGAGCCTGTATAATCCATGATTTGGTCAGAAGAGGGAGTTTTTCCAGGGTGCTGCTGGCAACTTAGCTTCAATCAATGGCAAATTTTGTCATTTTGGAATAGAGAGGCATTATTCAGCACTGAAAAAAAAAAAAAAAGTTAGTAACTCACCAGAGCCTGTATAATCCATCATTTGGTCAGAAGAGGGAGTTTCTCCAGGGTGCTGCTGGCAACCAACTAAGCTTCAATCAATGGCAAATTCTGTCATTTTGGAATAATGAGGCATTATTCAGCACTAAAAAAAAAAAAAAAATGGTTGTTTAAAAATGACTATAAAGTCAGCATTTATTGGGAAAAGAAAATTACTATAAAGTCAGCATTTATTGGGAAAAGAAATTATTAATTGCTTATTACCTGTTTCCTGCTGGGAGAAGGGCTCAAAACTTAATAACTGTGTAATTATACTGTATGTTTCTAATGTGAATGGTTATGGGCAAATTTTTCAGAAGCTGTTATGGGCAAACAGTAAATATTAATTGATAAAGGTCAAATGTCCTCTTCCTTATGTTTTTGCTGTTCTTATGGCAAAAGTTATGCCAGTTAAGTTTTAGTACTGCTAAAGTGACATTAAATTAATAATGTTGATCATAACTTCTATTTCAGATCTGTTTGAATTATGGAAATGGACTCTACGTGAAGGTAGGAAATAATGGAAAACTATTTTCTTTATCAGCGTTTGAAGAAGGGTTCTCTGAGCAAAGAGCAAGTGTCAAAGGCATGCCTTACATCAGTTGATAAATATCTTGTTTCACCATTTTCTGAAACATGAAAGCCGAGTCATGAATATGAAATGAAAGATGAAGCAAATAGATTCCTACATCCATCAAACTGAGTGGCATTCAACTTTGAGAAGCTTCCTCTAAAATATTAAGTATTTTAACTCCCTGTAGATGAAATAATTTGCTATTTTATGGAAGAGGTTAGTTGTGGAAAAATCTCCAGATGTTAATGTGGAAGCCAACAGACACAGTAGAGAGTAAGATGAACAGAAGGACAGAGGCCCTCATGCAGAAGGAGAATGATGGGTGGTTGAGCAAGGACAGCAGAGACAGTGGATGGGTTCATTAAAGGCTTCCTGTTTCATATATTCTGTTTCAGAGAGAAGGTTGAGCACGAGGCGGTGTTGGTGGGATGTCTAACAGGGTAATAAGGCAGAAACACTGCTTTAAAACTGTCTTAGTGCCAAACCTCTTCCCCTACTTGATGACAAGCACTTAAATCTTCCAGAACAGTTGTATTTTCAACAAACCCTGGTCATTGGTATTTTCCTCATGTATTTAAGGCTGTCTTACCTAATTCTGTCTTGATTAAGTTTTTCCTCCTCAAACAACTTGAGGAACATACAGCTCTTAGACCATGGTTCAGAAGGCTAAGGCTGCTCCATGATTCTGAAGGTATTAGCTACTGAAAGAGCAAAAGCTATTCAGAAGTCTGGGCTACAGCAGCCATATAGCGTGCATCTGAAATGGCTAAATGTAATGCTGATATTCAACCTTTTTCCACAGGTTTACGATCGAAATGGCAGGAGTGGTGTGTTGTCTCACCCCAACAGCCTCTTCAGACAGAAGCGAGAATGGACGGTCCCTCCGGCTTTCATACGGGAAGAGGAGGACAATTCCTACAAGAATCCAATCGCTAGAGTAAGCCCAGAAAAGAGATAAATACAGAATGCACATAAAGATGAAAATGTAAAATAAGGGTGCGGCTGCCCTAAACACATGTGCAAACATTGCTTGAATTTTGAAGGATGTCAGTTGAACTGAATGTCGGTTGAAGATTGGCATATTTCCTTCTGTTTCCTTCCTTCAGCAGATGAGCTGCTCTTGCAGACTGATTTGCTTCAGTCTTTCATGTTTTCCCAGCCACCAGTTTCCATAAAGCTTTTAGGAATGAAGTGTCTTTGAATTTTTTCACTCCACAACCCCTAAGCAGCTGTGGTTGAACTTGGCAAGTGGGTCCCAAAACTGCTGGTGGTGATGGGGCAGAAGGGTGTCCATGGAGCATGATTATGTAGGCCTACTTTTTTAGGAAACGGAGCTAAAAATAACCAAGGTGCTATCCTTTGTGCAAGAATGGTATGCATTTGGTTCAGCACCAGTGTTGAACTGAATTCACCACGCCTGTCACTTCAGCATCTCAAGTGACTGCAGATGACAGCAGGGTGTTACCCCCTGCTTGGGCTGTCCCTTGATGGTCATGGTGACACAATGCACTTGTGCTCGTCCAGGTGTTTCAGATATTTGCTGACAGCAGAGGAAGGGTGATGATCTCTAGTCTGTGCAGCTTTTCCTTCCACTTGTATCCTGTCCCACTCTCCTTGTCCGAGCAGTCCCAATTTTCTTCTCCCACAGACCTCTCCACTTCACAGTTCCCAACTGTTGCACTGCCCATTGCATTCCTCATCTCCCTGATTCTCAACAGAACATGCAGCTTTTCCTGCAGTCATCTCAACATCTCCACACTCAAATGCATGCGGGAAGATGTTTAAGATTTATTTTTGTTCGTTAATTACAAAAACAGGGAAAGGATTTTCTTCGCGGTTTTAAGTGTGGTTTTATTTACTGAATGTTGTTCAACCTGTTATATTCCTGCTAGATACATTCTGATCTTGAAGCTGCAGGGGTAGTGGTGACTTACACTATATCTGGTCAAGGAGTAACAGAACCCCCTTTTGGATTATTTGTTATCAATGGAAGGACTGGAGACCTGAATATAACGGGAAGGGTTGACAGAGAAAAGACTCCAATGCTGCTTGTAAGTGGAATACTACTTTTTCTTTATAGGTGCCCTCCTATAATTTTTTTATTTATTTTAGTCAAATGTGTTTACTTCAATTAGTTTTAAAACAGTTTCTGGATATTTGTGGTATATGTATGCTTATATTTATAAGCATTTTATATATGTTTATATATTAATATATGCTTATAAATAATTTACTTTTTATGTATATTTCTGTATATTTCTATTTGCATATGCATATTTATATATTACAGTCATTAATTGTATTTTCTCATTATTCTCTCTGTATTATTTCAGCTTAGAGGTCATGCACTAGATAAGAATGGAGCAAAAGTAGAGGAGCCAATAGACCTCCCAATTAAAATTGTGGATATAAATGACAACCCTCCAGTGTTTTCACATGAAGTTTTTGTTGGTTCAATTGAAGAATTAAGTGAAACAGGTAACATTATTTTTAATATTTTTTTTTCATGTAGCTTTTCCCAACACATGCAAAGGCACAAGTGAATATGCTCTTTGCAGCAGCGTACCTGCAGGAACAAGGATTCATTCTCTTGCTTGCATAGGCCAAGTTGCATTCCCAGGTGGGAATGCAAATTTTTATTCTGGGCTAAATTCTGTGGTGTGATAAAGGGAAAGTGGCCACATAAAGGCAACAGAGAATAACGCTTCCTCTTAGGGAAGTTATTGATCATCTGCTTCACTTGAGGTATTGAGTTCCCTCAGCTCTCTTTCAAGTTAGTAGCAGCCATGTGGTTAATTGCTTCTTTGCCTGAATTTCAGCTAATGTTCAAATAGGTTGCTGAGGTACACCCTCTTCCAGGGGATGATATCCTGTGCCATGAGTTAAGGGGATTGCGCTGTAGGGACCACCATATATTTTCAGTGAAGCTGTTGGAGGGCATCAATACAGAGCAATTATTTTAATAATGCTCAGGTAGAGGAGTTAGTAGTGCTCCCTTTAGAATGATGTGCGAGGGACATCTAACTGTTCAAAAACTTTTTCTTTCTTCTCTGTATATCTACAGTTTTCTGTCAGAAATTTTGAGAGCATTCTGTCTATTCTGTGATCCTGGTGCATTGAATTCTGTGAGTCACAGATGGGCAGATACAGTTTTTTAGTTTGCCAGAGGATACACTGTTAACATGTACTATTTGGATTTTAGGAACACTTTTTCAGTCTGTTCATTAAATAAATAAGGGCAAGAACATCAGAAAATCATGCAGTGCATCTGACAACAGTCTCTTAATTTGTGACATTACAGTAAAAATACTTGGCAGTGCATGGCAGTGTAAGCATACTATCTTTTGTTTACTTTTTTCCAGGTACAATTGTATTGAGGATAAATGCAACAGATGCGGATGAACCAAATAACCTGAATTCCAAAATTGCTTTCAGGATCATTTCCCAAAGCCCTAGCGCTGCATTCACTATGGATAAGGATACTGGCGAGGTTCGAGTAGCAAAAATAAACCTTGACAGAGAGGTAAAAAAAGCTCTCCCGTTCTTTACCTGTTAACAGCAGTCTTCTGATGTTCTAGTGTCACCTTCAGCTCCGCCTGCCGAGTTGGAGAGCTGGCCCTCTTCCTTCCCCTCCCTTAGGATCGAAGCCTTGTCTGTCTGATGTGTGTTTTTCAGGGACTGAGGGAGCAGGGTGTGATGGGACCAAGGCTGTGTTCCCCCTGTCACCTTTCTAGCACCAGCTGTTGGTTTTTGTCCCTCCCAAGGCAGCAGTTAACATGAAGTGAGGGGTCATTTCTCCGGGCTGGAGAGCACATGGCCAAGGCAACCCAGATCACCATCTGCAAAGCTGCTGGTTCCACAGCCTGCCATGCAAATCACCATGCAAAGAGTTAGGATGGGTGCTGCTGAGAAACAGCTTTGAAAGCCACACTTTACCAGCAGTTTTACCTGCGCTTGCACGAATTTTCAGTGGCCAGCAGATGGTGATCTGGGTGTTAGCTCTGCGGCTGAGGGCACCATCTCTGCCTCTAGCCCTGTCCTGATGTGCAGGTATTTTCACTGAATTTCACTGAATTTTAGAGTTGGAAGGGACCATAGAGATCATCTAGTCCAACTCCTCTGCTGAAGCAGGATTGCCTAGAGCTAGAGCATGTTACTCAGGACTGCATCCAGGTGGGTCTTGAAAATCTCCAAGGAAGGGGACTCCACAACCTCCCTGGGCAGCCTGTTCCAGGGCTCTGTCACCCTCACCATGAAGAAGTTTCTCCTCATATTTGAGTGGAACCTCTTATGTTCCAACTTGTGCCCTGTATCACTTGCCCCTGGCCCTGTTTGTGGCCACTTAAGTTTTTTCGTTTGCCGTGTAGATATGCTCTGAGGGGGAAATGCAAAAATTCCAAATCCTTTTCAAAGCCTCAGTTCTACTCAGAGCCTGTCAAGGTGTGTGTGAGATTTACAGCTAACTAGAAGAGAAGTTTACAGCTAACTAGAAGAGAAGTTATCACTGAGCATGAGAGGGGTTGCCAAAATGTAATGGAGATAATACAGCAAAGGAAAAAAAAAAAAATTACCCCTATTTAAACACTTTTTTCTTATCATGGCAGACACAAAGTAGCTATTCTTTGGTGGTGGAAGCAAAAGACCGTGGTGGTGAATTAGGTGGGAATGCTGCAACGTGTTCTTTAGACATCAAGATTTTGGATGTCAATGACAATCTGCCGGTGGTTGAAAGTAGTGCAGTAAGTACAGTTATCACAATATTTGGCATATTCCTACACCTGCCAGTATCCCTTTGCTTAATACCAGATTGTGCAAACATTTCTGCACTGGTGAAATGAAGTAAATCGTGACACCTTTTTGAAGGAGGATGTTTTTTGATTGCAGTTCGAAGGAAGCATTGAAGAAAACAGAGTAAATGTGGAAATTCTGCGAATAAAAGTATTTGACAAAGATGAAATGTTTTCTGATAATTGGCTGGCAAACTTTTCGTTTGTTTCTGGTAACGAAGGCGGCTTTTTTCGTATAATAACAGATAACCAAACAAATGAAGGCATTTTGACTGTTGTGAAGGTTAGTATGTTATTTAAAGTCTCCTTTAAATATTAGAGTAATTTATTCCCTTTAATTTGACATACAAATTATTTATATTCAGTCAAAACTGTAAGTTTATGTGGTGGACACTCCTCCTTTGGCATAGTCTTTGTTGATGTATCCAATAATTCCATGCAAAATAATTTTATGCAGGTTTGCCATTTACATTCTGTGTGATCTTGAATATATCTAGTGGAACACAAGTCCTCAAATTATTTACATTCAGTCAAACTGTAAATTTATGTGGTGGACACTCCTCCTTTGGCATAGTCTTTGTTGATGTATCCAATAATTCCATGCAAAATAATTTTATGCAGGTTTGCCATTTACATTCTGTGTGATCTTGAATATATCTAGTGGAACACAAGTCCTCAAACTTTCCTGTCGTTGGGCAACAGTGCTAACATGTATGCTGTAAACTTGCCTATTATTTTTCTGTCCTTGCTGGTCTCAGTTTAAATTTATTTCCCATGGCCACAGGTAACACTGCAGGCAACACCTACACCAAGACCCATGGGCTACAGACTGTTTTGAAATTACTTTATTTCCCATGGCCACAGGTAACATTGCAAGCAACACCTACGCCATGACCCATGGGCTACAGACTGTTTTGAAATTATGAAAATATTTTCCATAAATTGAAATTTCTGTTTTGTGAATTTCACTCCCCTTTAGTCCACAAGAACTGAAGATGCATAATGCCCTACGTACCTTTTTTCTTTTTTTTTTCTGCTCTGGTTTCCTTATCTGAAAATTGATAATTGTGAAAAAATGATCCACGTTATTAAGTAAATGAATTTTAAAAAAAAAAATAAAATTGGAAAGGCCAAGTAATACTGAGCACTGATTCACTGAAAGTAGAGGCAGAATAAATGGGTAGGACTTATTGCCACCTACCTTAAATTAGTTCAAATTCAATAATACAAGGACATACCTATGGTGCCATCCATTAATAATAGGAAGAGTGATTTTCCTTACGTACTTTCAAAGAGTTGAAGCATTATGTATTGAGAGTAACTTGTTGACCAATAGTTCTTCTTTGCCCTGCAGCATCCTTATTATTTAAATAAGGATGCTACAGTATTATTTAAATATTAAATGTATGAATGTTGTCTAGATATCAGATTCTGATTTTTTGTTGTTGTTGTTGTTGCTCTAGGAGCTGGATTATGAAACAATGCAAAGCCTAAACTTGGGCATTGTTGTTACAAACAAAGCAGAGTTCCACAAGTCAATTAAACACAGTTATAAAGCACAAACAATTCCAATCAGAATTAATGTGATTAATGTGCGGGAAGGCCCTGTGTTCCCTGGTGGCACAAAAATTATTGAAGCAAGTGAGAAACTGCAGATCAGACAGGTTATTGGACAGTATCAAGCCTACGATGAAGACACTGGAAAACCGGCACAGCGCATCACGTAAGAGTCTTTTTTTATAACCATCACAACTGAGTACAAAAAAAAAATCACATCTTACTGTAAAAATGCGTATTCAGAACTGAAATATTCAGAGGCAATTGTTTTCTGCTTTGCATAATTCACACCTAAAACACCTCATCTTCTATATCCTATTATGTAGAAAATAGCTGACTTGCAAATCCTACTTGTTTGGTCATATACGGTGAGACATGAGTGTTTGCCCATGCTTGCATGCTGTTTGTCATGCCTGCCTACTTCTGGGAGTAGATTTACTCATCTGACTTCATCGTCTGCAGAAACATTAGGAAAAAATGTACAGAAACACCCAGCAATTGGGCAGAAAGGGTGTGAAGTAGGGAAGTCTGCGTCTGAGTGTGTGTAGCTTTTGAGTTATAGCTCTTCAGCTAAAACGCTGTTGATCCTCCACCACAGCTTTTCCAAATGGTGCATCCCAGCAGAGGTGCTCACCCAGTGGTGGACCCCTCTGCCCCACGCCTGTAAAACAGTCTGGCCCCTCTGGCTGCTGCTCAGCTTTTGCTGGGAGCAGGGATGGAGGGGAAGAAGACTATGACTGGCAGCACAGCTCCCTCTCCTGCTCCAGTCTTGCTCCCTGAGTCTGTTTATTATCATGCTCCACGCCTAAGTCCTGGCTCTAGAGGGAAAAAGCAAGTTTCAACATTCAGGGAAGGTTTATAATATTAGACTTAGAGTTGAAACCAGTTCCAGTGGCAGGAGTGTCAGGCCTCCGACCTAAGGATTTGGTCTCTGCTTTAAACAAAGAGTAAACACACTGTCAAGCTGCTTTTTCTGCTAATGTTTTTCTTCCTCGTTATAAATGTGTACATCTTTATATGCAATTTTAATCAGGTACGTGAAAGGAAGAGACCCAGCAAACTGGATCACTATAGACTCAGTGACAGGTGAAATCCGACTTGTCAAAAACCTCGATTACGAGTCGTCTCACGTAGTAAATGGTACCTACACTATCACCATGTTGGGTGTAACTACTGGTAAGTTGAGAGGGTTTTGTTTTCACACTAATTGGTTTGTTTAGGATTTAGTTTGCCTTCCTGCAACTATAATTGGTGTAACCTCCCTGTCTTTAACTGCCTAGATATTAGTGCCGTTTCCCATAGGCTCTGTATTTGGAGGAGAGAAACACAAATCATTGAAATAGAATGAACCTTGGAATGGGTTAAGCAAGAAAGATTCCCTGAGCTTCTTGTGTATCTAATTAGAATTCTGCGTTTATAATCTGCATATTACTGTGTCACCATACACAGGAAATACTTTTTTTTTTTTTTCCCAAGTTAAAATAGTAAACCAGCTTGCCTTCAGAAGAACTTTGTCAATGTGTTTATTAACATTAGGAATTAAATACTACTTCTGTAAGCTTCCGGAAGAGCTCTTTCAGCCTACTTCAGCAATGTGTGTGTTTTGGAAAATACTAAGTTTTTTTTATTTTAAGAAAAAATTTTTGCACTTTTAAAATCAATTTAATCTTTCATGTTTTAAAATCTTAGATTCGCCTAAGAAAACAGTCACCGGCACAGTCGTCATTCAAGTTACAGATGAGAATGATAACTGCCCAGTTATTGTGAACCCTGTGCAGACTGTGTGCTCAGATGCAAAATTAGTTGATGTTACAGCCAGTGATATGGATGGTTACCCAAACAGCGATCCCTTCAGCTTTACTGTCATTGATGAGCCAGAAGGGACAGCAAAAAAATGGATAATTGCATCCAGAAATGGTAAGAAAACATTTTTAATTACTTTCAGTTATTTGGAGTCCTAGTGTTGTAGTTGGTTAATTTCAATGAAATTGACACTTTGGCTGATCGAGACCAAGAAAGCCCATATATATGGACTCACATGAAGACACATCACTTGCATGCTGCTCCCTTCTCTCTAATGGCTGTAAAATCACAGCCATGTCTTCTGGAGCCTGTCACCTTCCCTCAGTTGGACCATCTTTTCCTAGCTCGTTGACCCATAGGTGGTGACCAGGATTCCATGGGTAATGCTGGGATCAAACCATTCTTCCCGTATCAAGCATGCAGTGATGGAGGATGCTTTTGCTAAAACTGAGCTTGGGGATATTATTGTGTTACTGGCTTCAGTTGCTCTAACTTAACAAATAAATAAATAAATAAATCTGTCTGCACAGAAAACCTTGACGAGGGGAAATACAGTGTAACCTAACAGTCTAAGATTGTCCAGCACAGTAGGAACAAAAATAGGTCAGAAATCATAAATAATTTTAATGAGTATTTCAAAATGAGATGAGCATTTTCTTCTTACATTTCCAATCATAAAAGCCTGGGAAATGCTTGAAGGAAATGCCTCAGATTGAAGACACCAGAAAACACTTTTTGCTGCTCAGACTCAGTATTCTGTCCTCCGTAATCCTACAGCATAACACTGCAAAGCAATCAGCAGAGTCATCCTAATGGCCAGGTGTAGGACCAAGAAGGAATCTTCTTAGCTTTCATCACCCTGCTTGCAGCTAGACTAGCAGTAATTGTAGGGATCATGGCTTTTCCAAATAGGGTGGTGTTCCCCAGCTGGAAATACGGAAATACAGTGTAACCTAACAGTCTAAGATTGTCCAGCACAGTAGGAACAAAAATAGGTCAGAAATCATAAATAATTTTAATGAGTATTTCAAAATGAGATGAGCATTTTCTTCTTACATTTCCAATCATAAAAGCCTGGGAAATGCTTGAAGGAAATGCCGTAGATTGAAGACACCAGAAAACACTTTTTGCTGCTCAGACTCAGTATTCTGTCCTCCGTAATCCTACAGCATAACACTGCAAAGCAATCAGCAGAGTCATCCTAATGGCCAGGTGTAGGACCAAGAAGGAATCTTCTTAGCTTTCATCACCCTGCTTGCAGCTAGACTAGCAGTAATTGTAGGGATCATGGCTTTTCCAAATAGGGTGGTGTTCCCCAGCTGGAAATATAGAATCATAGAATGGTCCGTGCCGGAAGGGACCTCCAAAGGTCATCTAGTCCGACCTCCCCACATCCAGCAGGGACACCCCCAACTAGACCAGGTTGCCCAGGGCCTCGTCGAGCCTCACCTTGAATATCTCCACAGAAGGGGCCTCAACCACCTCCCTGGGCAACCTGTTCCAGTGCTCCACCACCCCTATAGTAAAGAACTTATTCCTAAATCTGAGCGTCTCTTGCCTAGTTGTGTCCTTGATGTGAGGCAGCCACAGGAGCAGGTGGTATGTTGGCTCCCCAATCTCTGCCTGTGGCCCACAATAGATTAATCTCTTAAAGACTGAAGCTGGTGTTTTTTGTGACTACAGCCATTGGCTGTCTGGATGACATGAAGGTTAACACTGTGTTGGTGGTTGGGCTGTCTTCTGTGATGTCTCTGCTGGTGTGAAACTCCTCGTGGTTATCTGAGACTGCAAGTGAGCCTGGCTGCTTTGTGACCAGCATGAATGACTTGATTACTACTAATGCTGTAGCAGCAGCTAATGAAATTTAATTCCATTGCATTGGCTGGATGCAACTGGAGGGGCCTTGTTGGGAGGCTGTGAAGGTTTTATTTCCCTTAGTTTTCAGGAGTCAGCTTTATCTCCACTCATTTCTTGTTTGTCTTTTTCTTTAACCTCCCCCTTGTGCCTCAGGCACCAGTATACAGCTGGTACCACCAGAGCTGAAGCTGGGCAGAACTGAAGTTCCCATCCTGGTGAAGGATTACCAAGGGCTCAGCTGTGCTCAGCCCCAGTCTCTGCAGCTGACTGTGTGTAACTGTGCAGAAGACAGCGTCTGCAGAGAGAAGATCATCGCCGATAAGTCAGTGGGTCTGGGCCCTGCAGCGATTGCACTAATCATCTTGGCATTTCTACTTCTGCTGCGTAAGTCATTGTTTCCTGTTCCCTCAGAAGCGCTGTTAAGTGTGGTCTGCCAGGCAGCAGGAAAGAAACAGCCCCGTTCCCAGCTTTTATCATCTTGATTATAGTCTGCGTAAACTCCTGGTCTCTCTGAAGTCATGGCAAATCCCCAACTAGTTTTGGTAACATCAGCATTTCACCCTCAAAGGATTTAATTTTAAAATTAATATGCGCAACTTTAATATTTGTTTACGGTGCTTTAAATAACAGGTGGGGAAGCAGTAAAGAGTCCTTTCGGTGCTTCCCACTCCTCCCCATGTGAACCCTAACTCTTCCCACTCACTGCAGGCCCAGGTCTTGATGCCTTGCTCTGAGCAACAGATGACGTTGTTCTTTGATAAGACAAAATAGAAGCTTGGAAATAAAGAGAAGAATGCTTGTAGTTGGGGCATGGCTATGTGTACCGGTGCTGCATTTAAATGGCAATAGTTTATTGCTTGTACTAGTAGCAATCTAGCTACAAAGTTCACGTCACATGAATAATATGTTCTGTTCCTGAGACTGGATTGTTTTGAGTTCCCCAGGCAACGCTCCAGACATGTCACAGGAGCGGTGAGGTGGAATTTACACGACACCGTGTCGTTATCTAGTAGTAAAAGAACAGGAGGGGTTAGGAATGCTGAGGTTGTAGAGTGATATTGAGGGCTTGGTTTTGATATATGAGACCTTTGATGGAAGTATAGCTCTATGCATGCCTGGTCACCTGCAGGATTGAGGCCCTGACAGGTTCATTGTCAGTTTACTCTCGAGGAAGCCGTCCCAGCATATGTTTCTTGGAAATACCTTGAATATTTGGGAATGTGTATGCGGTCTTTATCAGCTCCCATGCTCATCGCTAGCTCCCTAAAGACACGTTTTGGTATGAGAGCTGACCAGACTTGGATACTGGCTATTAGCATGCTTTGACCCTAATCATCACATAATTAATGGCAAACTCATATTTCCTTGTAGTTCTCCCGCTGTTACTGCTGCTGTGTCCCTGTGGCTCGGGAGCGAAGGGCTTTGCTGCGATACCGGACTACAGCGAAGCCATGCTGCGTCAGTGGAACAGCGAAGGGGCAGCTCCCGAGGAGAAGGCATGTATCCCTAATAGCATTTGGCTTTGATTTCTGTCATAGAATCATAGAATGGTTTGGGTTGGAAGGGACCTCAAAGATCATCTAGTTCCAACCCCCCTGCCCTGGGCAGGGACACCTCCCACTAGAGCAGGTTGCTCAAAGCCCCATCCAGCCTGGCCTTGAACACTTCCAGGGATGGGGCAGGTCCAAGTGTTCAGTTTGGCACTTGGCATCTCTTCCACGTTACGGGCTGATGTTTCAGGGCTGTGAAACCCCACATGAACATTAATTAAAATTAACCCTGTGAGGCCCAGTGAGGGATGCGTGGAAGGTAAATTCCACCAGCAGCTCTAGAAACACCAGCTGTGGTGTTTAAATCCCAAAGTAAGGGGGAAGAAATCAAACAAATGTTGATAGTATCTGAGCGAGAGATAGGGGTGTGGGAAAGGCATTGATGCTGTAAAGAGTGAAGCATTTGCATTTGCAAGTCTGGAATGTTCTTCCCCTATTTGGGAGGCAGGTAAAGCAGCAAAAGAATAGATTATAAAGTTTAGCTTCTAGTTTAAAGGGTAGGCTTGCATTTTAAATTAGTTCCCTGTGTATTTGCCTTCTTAAACAGAGTAAATTCTTTCTTAAAAAAATTAAAAAGCATAAATCTGAGGTAACAGTGAATGCCAAGAGAAGTTTGCAGTTTGACCTTGTTATGCTACAAAACCCAGTTTAAAAAAAAAAAATGGGCATGACACTGGCATGCTTTTGCATAATAACAAAGAAACAGAGTAAGGTAAAAGACTTTGATTTGGGGCCAATGTTCTCACCAAATTCATGATTAAAGACAATTAACAGGGAAGCCAGGCTGCTAGAAAAGAAAGGGCCAGGCAGCACCATAAGAAGCAGCACAGGCAGTGCACACTTTTTGTCTGGGGAAAACTGGGCAGAGTCTGTCTTGGAACACCTGAGCTCCCTGGAGCTTTGCAAGCCTTTTGTTGGTGGTAGTGGTGGGGGTTTTTTGGGTGTTTTTTTTCCTGCTTTCATTCCCAACCCTTTCAATTTCAAGAAAACAATGTTCTGTAAAAACATTTCCGTGGTCCTCCTCGGGAATGCAGTTGTGGAAGCTGCACCCTGTTTCAGGAGGCCCTTTACTCTTTGCAGCAGCATGTATTAAGTGCAAATTTGAACAAGTCGTAAGACGGCACACTCCCAGGTCCCACCCAGCCCCGCTGCTGGTTTGGTGAGTTCAATGTGCTAGACAGTGCAGCTTTCATGTCACATCGTAATTTGTGTTATTTATGTAGCCAGTGCTAAGCCTCATCCCACCCACTGCATTGGGGAGCTCAAGAGGAGCAGCAGCAGCAGGAGCAGGAGCAGCAGGAGCAGGAGCAGCAGCAGGAGGAGCAGCAGGAGCAGCGGTGGCGGGAGCAACAGTGGGAGCAGCAGCAGCAGGAGGAATGAGTGGAGAAGAAACTGCAGCAGGAGGAGGCAGCTCGGCCTCTCACGTAGGAGAGCATCGCTACACCGTTGGCAGGGAAAGATGGGAAGAGCAAAGACATCTCCTTTCTGGTGCTGACTATGGAGCCATGGCAGCCGGAGCGGCTGGAGGCATGGCTGGAGGCATGGCGGGTGTAGACGGCAAGACAGCGGTGGCTGGAGGAGGCATCGCGGTGGGAGCAGCTGGAGCCATGAAGGAAGAGTTTTTTAGAGACTACATCAGTGATGTAAGCATAATGACCCGCGAATATCAGTATTTTGGTATTTCCACCTAGCGTTGGGAAATGCAGTTCATGCTATTACAAACACAGATGAGTAGATACCTGTATAGAAACAGTCCTGATACAATGGCCAATGTTGTGTGCATGTGGAGTTGGGCGCACTAAGGGTTTTTGGATTAGTCTCAAATGTAGGACTTGGAGCATGACAGTGCTCAGTCTTGTAGCACTAGGTGCTTACAAGGTTTCCCACAACGAGACCCTTATCTTAAAGAAAATATTTGGAAATTGGTATCCAGAATATTCAGCAGTGACCAAGGAGCCACTGGCCCAAGAAGAAGCCATGAGAAAGTCTATGTGATAAAAATCTCAGGGATTTAAGCCCAGTAAGCTGGCCTGTAGGGAGGTACCTGTGACTCATCATGAGTCACAGCTGCAGACTTCATAATGGAGCAGGTTTTTGAAAGATAAGCGGTAGATGTCAAACGGTAGAGGGTGGGTCTGCATTTTCAAAGTAGCTGATGAAGTAAGCGGTGCTGGACTTGTCTCTTCGCCCAGTAGCCTGGGTAAAGGGTTGCTTATTAGAACTGTATGAGGCACATGTTGCAATCCCATTTCTGACTTTTTTTCTGGTGACCTAACCGTTGACCAATAAGCTGTTCCTACTCATTACAGCTATTCCTCTTTGCGTAATGCACGTCATTAGTCCTTCAGGCTGGAGAGCTCCTTACTGTGGAAGTTTCACTTCCCTATGGCAGGGAGTGTACGGATTGTACAAATAAAACACCTTCACACCCTCCAGCTGGCTGATAAAGGGGTTCTGCAGGGGAGTAGCTGTGCAGCTTTGGATCACCACCTCAGGCCAGGGAAGGATTTGAGCTTAGGACACTTGTATGTCTCCCGAGCACTCTGGCTACTGCTCTTCTGGGTGAACAGATGTAACAGTAGCAATTCTATTTTCCTTCCCCTCTTCGTGCTTCATAATATTAAGACATACTTTTAAGCATAGGTGCCTGCTGAAGTCCTGCAGGTGGGCTTTGTAAAGTCATACTAGAGTAACCTTTACAACTCATGGGTGGCTAAACTATCACAGATTACAGGAAAGGAAAGAAAAAAAAAAAGCCCAAAACATCACAGATTAGTTACCAAACTACATAGTTTCAGATGTGTGCTGATTTGAGTAGAAGCATCTCAGGAAATGTGCCTACTTCCAGGATCAAACACAGATAAACATAGAGCCAATCTGGGTCTGGATATGTACCACGTTACACAGGTGCCTGAGCCAATATGCACTCCAGAACTTCAGATGTGGCAAAAAAAAGTGGTTCTGAGCACAAGCCAGCAACCGTATTAGGTAAAGCTGGTTCAGCAGGTCCAGAGGATCTGTCTGTCTTCACTCCTGGAACTGGTGCAAGCATGTAGACGGGTATTTGTGCTGTAGCACTGGCAGCAACTCCATTGCAGACGCTGCTTTCCAACTGAGCTGGCCCCAGAAGCACTGTAGGCAGGAGCCATGAGCCCACCTTGTTGCAAAGTGGCCTGTGTAGAGCCTAAAGATTTAGATGCTGGACTACGTTCCCATACTCATCAAGCCAATTAACTTGGTGTTTTGTTTGCTGTTGGGCTTCTTGGGTGTGATCCTGCAGGTTATGCTCGTAAAAAGGGCCATAGCAGGTGATAACGTGTCAGCGTGTACTCATTAAATGTAGGTTTAAATGTGAGGATACTCTCAGGCGAGGTTTTGGCAGTCTCCCACAAACACCTGGTCACAGTTGAAGGTCATTCACTGAACCAAAATAAAAGGAGCCTGTGTGTGAGGATGGAGCAGTATCACAAATGGCACAGTTCCTGGTAGGAGTAGCAGCAGGTGGTGATAGTAACCAAAGTTTTCAATTGAATTTCAGATTTTTATTCTTATCAGGTGTACTGTCAAGTTCAGACTAACTTCAAAAAGTGCTTTTGGGTACTGCCCATCATTGGTTGATGGTTTCTGTGGGTTCAGTTAAATTTTCTTATTTTAACCTTTTTGACCAAGCATTCCTCATTTTCAGATTTATTAAGTTTAGAGCTGACATTAATGAAGTTTTTTTTGTTTTCTGTCTGTAGAAATTTGTCTCTTTTGTGGATGAAGATGAAGCTCAAGCTGCAAACGACTGTCTCCTGGTTTATTCCCAGGGAGAGTCAGGCTCTCCCCATGGCTCCATCGGCTGCTGCAGCTTTATTGAGGGTGATCTTGATGACCACTTCCTTGATGATTTAGGAGACAAATTTAAGACTCTAGCAGAAATATGCATAGGCAGACCCATCAACATGAAAGACAGTAGCTCCAGGAATGAATCGGGTTTTGGTCTTAATAACACAAAGTCACAGTTCTTAGATCAGCAAACTGCTTCCAGCTCGGAACAAGCCTTTGCCTCGGGCAGCCTCTTCCAGCCCACCCCACTGGTGCACGCGGGCCATGGCGCAGGAGAAACCACCATGTCCAAGGAGGTGGTCACAGAAACAACCTTTGCATCCCATTCTGGGCAGCACGATGCTCAGACACTCCCTGCAGCCCACGCGGAGACCAATTTCACCATGACAGAAACATCCTACTCTGCGGGGGCTCCTGCCCGCTCGGCTGCTGTCTTTCTAGACCCCCAGTTTAAGGAGAACGTAGTGGTGACAGAAAGAGTGCTGGCACCTGCATCCAGCTTGCAGGGTATGGTGGAAGTCCCCGATTTGCCACACAGAAGTAACGTGGTGGTTACGGAGAGGGTGGTGAAGTCAGAGGGCAGCGGAGCAGGAGCCCTGGTGGTTCAGGATCTCCCTGACTCCCAGTACGTCGTGGTGAGGGAGCGGGAGAGGGTGCTGGTGCCCGCTGCAGAGCAGGGCTCGCTCAGCTTCTCCACTTTGGCAGATGGGCACAACGTGGTGGTGAACGAAAGGGTGGTGACGGCCTCGGGGACGCAGAGCAGAGCCCAACACGCGGTGGGTGCTGCTGGCTCGGGAAGGGAAGAGCACGTGTTGATCACAGACTCCCTGCTTAACCAGGCGGGCTCCGGCCTAGAAGGGCCGGCTCCTGCCAGCGCCACGCTCAGCAAGTCTTCCAGGGTCACCAAATACAGCACGGTGCAGTACACCCGCTCCTAGCCCGGCCCCTCGCAGGGGTGGCCGTGTCCAGCCTCCCCTGTGTCTGTGTGCCTCTTGCTTTGGGCTGCTCCTTGGGACCCAAGTTTGCCAGATCTTTCAGAATGACGTGGACTTGCTTGTGGTAGTTTGTGCAAATAAGCGTTGTGACCAAGAAGCAAGTGAGGAAGTGTCCTGCTGTCATTACGTAACATTGGCAGGAATGCTTTTGAAGTGGAAAGCTCTAGGAAATATGTATAATTTTTTTATCCTTGTTTGCTATTTTTGTAATTGCTTTTTATTATTCAGTTAGTGTAATAATACCATGTAACCACAGCTGCCTAATTATGGGAAAGCAGGAAAAAAAAATACTAAAGTGTTGTGATGGTTAGTAGCTTAAAAAGCACAAGTTTGGTTTTCTGAACTGCTGTTTAGTGTGTCTGCTGAACCTCCCCCTGAGGGGCATCAGTTTCTCATTGTATTTTTTGGCATCTATTTTCTCATCTATTACTTTGTGGACCAGGGCAGCTCCTCCTGAGCTGCAGATCTCTGCACCTTGGTGAATTGATAAGAAAATCTCTCTTACCTGAGAAACCCAAGCAAGTACCTCCTCGGGGCAGCGGAGCGTTGATCTCCTGGGAAGGATGTCACAATTTCGGGTTATCAGCGTTTGTACCTTAAGCAATCGATACTTGCACATTAGCACAGGGGTTAAAGAGAGCAAGTAGCAAAAAAGCTGAGAACTGCAATTTTTTTGGTACCTTGATGTAAAAATTCCATTCCTTGGTGTGCATCTAGGCTGACATGGACAAGTAAGCATTTGCATCGTATAGATTTTTCACTGGCTCCTGATTGGTCCTTCAATAATGTATGAGAATCAGCTGAAACTTACCTTAGCTTTAGAGCCAGAGGTTCAGCCAGTGGCTTTGCTGGCAAAGTTTATGTCACTTAGACCTCTGTAGGGTCTGATTTACAAGTGCAATTAACTAAGTGGTTTTAATTCTGTCTGTGAACTCAGAGATACAAGCACAGAGACGCAAGTCTGTGTGTAAAAGGTTCTGCTGGCTCCAGTACCAGCGCCCTGCGTGGTGCCATATAATGGCAGCTTTCCTTAGCACTGACAAGGGTCTGTGTGTGAGAGGTTCTGCTGGCTCCAGTACCAGCACCCTGCGTGGTGCCGTATAATGGCAGCTTTCCTTAGCACTGACAAGAGAAGGCTCCCTGTCCTTGGGCAACACTTAAATTTCATGGAAAGAACCGTAATTTTTGTGTGGTAAAAGCAGAAGACGGTACTGCACTGTTTGGCACCATGTAGATATGCATATGTAAATATTTATTTGTATGCAGTTTGAAACATTTTGAAGCTAATTTTATTGGGGAGAAAACTGCTATACACTCCTCGTGTCTTTTCAGAGTAACGAGAAATATTTTAGATTATGTATTGGTACTGTGTTTTTTAGCAAGCTTGTTGTATGTGAATGCAAAGCCAATGGACCTGCAGAGCTTTCTGGTTGTCTCCATCTCTACTGGAGTTTTCCTGCATCTGCAGTGTTACGTTTTCCACTGATATGTTTTGCCTTTGACAAACATGTGTTCCGTGTATTTGATTTAACAGATAAGGATCTAAAAGTTGATTCAAAAAGGTAAGGACTATGACTATGTTCCACAGGGTGCATCTTGACAGCTGGGCCGTTACGTTGAGTGGAGGAGTACTTCCAAGCAAATCAGACTGCTCACTTGCTTGGACCTGTTGGTCATTTATCTCTTAAACTTCATGTTTTTTTAAAGTACATGTATTTACTTTTAGGCAAGCATGCAGTTTTAAGCGGTGACGACTTTCATGCAGTAAGAGGGAGTGAACTTATTTCTGACTTTTTAGTGGCATATTTTCTGTGGTTTTATGCAATCTTAAAATAAAGAAGTCTACTGTATTTCTTTATTATTATTATTCATTCTTCACAGCTACCCCAATGAAAACACTGACTTTCCTACTGCAAAGAAAAACCTTAGAGATAGAATTGAGATTTCCCAAACAGCCTGAAGGAATATCTGAAAGATACAGGTGTAATGAAGTTGGTGTCCTGCTAACTTAAAGATTCTGAAAAGGATGTGAATTCTACCTGCTGGTGAAGCACACTAATTTTTTTAAGAACTTGATGCAAGACAATAGCATCCTGCCCACAGATTTATTAGGTTTTGAGTCAAACTCTTCTAACCAGTTTATACTTGCAGAGCATATTGTTTATTTCTGACTTTTTAATGGAATATTTTCTGTGTTTTATGCAATCTTAAAATAAAGAAGTCTACTGTATTTCTTTATTATTATTATTCATTCTTCACAGCTACCCCAATGAAAACACTGACTTTCCTACTGCAAAGAAAAACCTTAGAGATAGAATTGAGATTTCCCAAACAGCCTGAAGGAATATCTGAAAGATACAGGTGTAATGAAGTTGGTGTCCTGCTAACTTAAAGATTCTGAAAAGGATGTGAATTCTACCTGCTGGTGAAGCACACTAATTTTTTTAAGAACTTGATGCAAGACAATAGCATCCTGCCCACAGATTTATTAGGTTTTGAGTCAAACTCTTCTAACCAGTTTATACTTGCAGAGCATATTGCAAACCACAGGGCTTAAAATAGTGTCTCAGTTTTATAGTTGGTAAAACAGAGACCCAGAAGAGGATGTAAGAGTCAGAACTGTGTCACAGAAATCCTGACTTGGCAAACCACAGGGTTTAAAATAGTGTCTCAGAGACCCAGAAGAGGATGTAAGTCAGAACTGTGTCACAGAAATCCTGACTTCCCTGTGTATTGTTTATGTGTAACTTATCACAGATCTGTTGGTGCTCTTAGAGTCTATTTGAATAGATTTGTTACGAGTTAATCTCCATTATTTGGCTTAGTCTTGCACCAAGACTTCAGCTGCTATCAGCATATGCTTATGCTGGCACAACATCCATCAGATGAAATACGTAGCTTCTACTGGAGCTGTGTTTTGTAAATAATGGGGGCTGGTGGGAGGAATGTGCAGACCCAAACTAATGGCAACGCCTGGTTAGCATCCAACCACTAGATAACCCTGACACGGGGACTAGCCCCAGACACTTATCTTTCCGAGATGCCTCATTCTGACTTCCAAAGTAAAAGCATAGTCTGTAATTTTCTTATCTAAAAATAACAAAGCATGACTTTGCTGAAATACCAATGTGTCAGGGACTGTATCCAGGCTGCTCTTCTGTGATTTATGTTTCCTGTGAATCCTTGCTAAGTACATCAGGATCCAAAAATGTGAACTAGCATGCCCCAACAAGGATGCAACCGTCCCCAGCAGAAGGCCAAGTGCCTGTCCTGAGTACTCATGAGTAATTTGTCATGCCTTGGCATATACTTTGATAGGCAGGACGATCTCTTCCAGGCTCCATTCTTTCCTGGGAATTTGACTATTGCCCACCATCAAAGGCTTAAAGCTTGTTGGGGTTATCGGCAGTAAATCAGTTCTTAAAAAGTTAAATAAATCAGCTGCTCTCTACAGGGGAGTGATGGTAAGTGTTTATGGCCTTGAGGCATCCCAAAAATGCATCACTCCCTCCGCTTGCCCTGCGGTAATGGAGCTATGGCTCTGGCTGTCTCCTCTACTGGCCCCTTCTCCCTCCTGGTCCCCTTGAGCTCAAAAGGCAGCGACGACCACATGTTCTTCTTGCCTTGTGGGTAGAAAAACTGCCCTTTGCCTGGCAGCAGTGCAGGCTTTCAAATGTGTTCTTCCACCTGAACCAACTTGAGCTCAAACTCCTTCTGTACGTGAGGACATGAGGCTGGGCTGAACAGGGCCCCCAGGGGCTTGGTGCCAACTGGGTGCTGTTTGTGAGCCCATCTTGAAGCACACGAGCTCAGAAGGTCAGCCCTTTGGGTGTCTGAGGTCCTGAAGGTGCTCAGTGCATCACGCAAAACTTGCCGGGGCACCCCGAGCTGCAGGGCAGAGTCCCAGATGGGATCTGGTGGTGTTGGCGCAACAGGTGAAATGGCTCCTGTCCATCTGGACCTGTTCAGGCTTTGGCCCAGAGCCCGTGCATGGAAGCAGCCAAAGGGTGACAGCTCCAAAGCATGTGTATCCAACCCTGCCCACGCCGGCCTCAGCTGGAGCCCGCTGGTGAGGCCGGCACTGGGCCCTGTGTCATCTCTGGGGGCAGCGGGGGGCAAAGCATGGCCAAGGACTCAGGATTTTTGGCTGTTCCTTGAGGGATATGAATCCACTGCTCTCCCAGCCTGGAATGCTCCATGTGGGAACAGGCACCACATATCCTGCCTCCACAGTCCACACCAGTCCGTTACCAAAGCTGTTGTGAATTACAGAGTTTATGCGGATTCAAGGCACAAGGGCATGGAAAAGGAGGCCATTGGGGGCTACTGAATACGCAGAAATGGCTCCCAGCTGATAGAAGATAGTCCTGGTGGGAAGACCCTCTTTCCTGGGAAGACCCTCTTTCCTAGGCATCTCCTTATGGTGACTGCTGATGATGGGATAGGTATCTCCTTATGGTGACTGCTGATGATGGGATACCAGACTAGAAGGACTCTTGGCATGATTCAGGAGAGGCTTGATGTCAAGGGAGAACAGGACAGCAGTCAGCAGAGGCAAAGGACAGTAGATGAGGGAGGTGGCTGGATGAGGAGAAACAGGGCTGAGGAGCCAGCAGTCACTCAATAAAACTGATGCAAGGCAGGGCCCTGATTGCCAGATAAGCCCTGCCCAGTGCCCCAGCCCTCTGGTGAGAGTCTCTGCCAAGAAACCACTGCACAAACATAGCCGTTGTGGCCTTGAACTGCACAAAGTGGGTGCAGTCTCCAGCCCCCAGTTTCTCCAGGTGGCCTCACCTCCAGAGCCAGCGCTGCAGGTGGTCAAGTTTCCCAAACGCATCCTATTGCTCAGCACCCCGGCAGTTGAAAATCAAACTCGGGACCATCACCCCAAGAGGGGGATAGATGGCAGCACAGTCTATGCTGAACAGATGCTGAAAGCTGCTCCCAAAAAGGGCACTTTAACTTCAGAGCATGGCCATGCCCACAGCTTTCTGCTGATGGCCTGCCACGACGGGCAGCACCAAGTGCTGGAGGGTCTCAGGTTTTGCAGTTCAAGAGGATAAAGAAAATCAGTTGTACCAGTAGTTGGTACCCGTGGCCCATGCCATCCTCATCACTGCACCACATCCTTGTTTCCACAGCTGGAAAAACCACCAAAGTAGGCAAAGCTGCAGATGTTGATTCTGCAGCAGAGCCCGGCTTGGTACCTCTTCCCCCATTGCGTGGGGTGGTGGGGGATGTCATCCTCATTTTTACAGCTCCCCATTCATGGAGCCACTGAGGATGTAACGAAAGGGGCCATGAGGCAAGGAGCCACAGCTGAAAATTGTAGTTTTATTTAATACTAAGCAATTTTTTTTGATGTGCCAAATGGTGAGGGAAACTTCCATCACTACCTTGTATTAGCCAGGGAAGGCCAAGGAGAGAGGGATTCTAGTTATTTCATTATTTTCTTTTAGTTACTGAAACATGTGTACAAAATGATAGCACTGGTTTTAAAATTGCCCTGAAAGCCTTTTCCTTGAAATATATAGCAGCGAGTGTCTTCAGCCTAACCAGAAAGTGCTGTGGATGCGCTGGGGGAAAACCTGATGGCAGACAGTTTGTTCTGCAGGACGCCAGGGTGGAGGGGTTTATAGCCCTCCTGCCTCAGCTCCAAGCTGGTTTCTGACCTAGAATTCAAACGTTTCATCAGAGTATTTCTCTTAGATCTCTTATCTCTAGCAAATAAAACTCAGAGGTGAGATACCACCTCCCAGTGATTAAGCAACAAACTGCGTTGATTCCCTGGTTAATGATTATCCAAGATCTTTGGAGCTTGGCTAAAGTTTAAGCCCTTGGGGAGCGCAAAACTTTGAGAGGACAGTGCTGGTACCAACTGATGAGTTTCCCTCAGGCCTGCAATCCAGCCCCTGAAGCAGCCAGCTCCCCTTCTCCTGCTGGGGATGGGGTATCTGGGAGCAGCTGTGGGGCACAGGGTGGTGGCCAATGCTGAGCTGCTGGGAGAAGCTTGGTAGCAGTGACATGGCACTGGGTAGCA